TTGCACTATTTTTCCTTTCCCCCCTGCCCCCCCTACAGCGATTTAAAACGTTCCAGAGTAATGTTTGGGTTTGGTTTGTTTCTGAGACCTTGCTTTCTTTTTACAACGTGCTACCAGAAGAATCCAAAGTAATGTGTGTTTGTCTTAGATTTAAAACACCTCATTGTTCCTAAGGATAAATGACGGCCATTTTTACATTTACTACATTAGTAGAAGTGGCGAGTTGTGTAACTGCACAGTGTGGCAAGGCTCTGTGAGATCTAACATGGTTGTTGTTCCCATGACTGACAGGAAGACACAAAATATTATCTTTGCCGCCACTACGAAACCAGATATTCAAATGAGAGATCCTCCTTGCCTACATAAATATAACAATGCCGTACAATATATCAGTCACTGCAAATTGTAATCAAACAGGTTTTTTCAGCTGTTTTAATTCAGAATTTGATTTCGTAACACACGCAGCTCTGAGAGGGCCGCTGCTCACGCAGAGCGCTTTTGCCTGCTGTATTTTCTGTTTGTCAGTCTGAGAAAATGAACACAGTGAAGTGATAAACTGCAGTCTCAGAGCTTTTAGGAGCTGATACAGGATCAGTTTACCTAAGCAGTGCACTCTACCCAGCCTACAGCGATTTCAGCCAGGTTCTTGTTTCCCTGAGGGGGACTCACAGTTTACATATCATGCATTGCTGGTTCAAGGACAAGCTACACAAACTGTTATTGGGACAAACCTTACCCAGCTGCTGTCTGTGAGTCACTCGGTGGTAGATCACTGCTTCTGACTGAACATGGAGCCTTGAACTAGGACATCCAAAGTGGTTTTGCTCTAATTTAGTCCATAAATCTTGCAGCGTTGTGCTCCTAGACTTGACTTAAAGTGAATCATTGATCATAACGGTGGACATCTGCTCTGTGCTGATGACTGTAACGCTGTCATCGAGCCGCTCGGGCACAGTAACCACGGCAACTGACACATCAGTAATGTGAGCGTGGTTTGAAGTTGTACGAACATGAATGCTTGAGTGACGCAGCATTCAACTTGTGTAATCTTCTGTTCTATGAAGGCTGCAGAGAGATATGATGATAGGAGGGTTAAATGTTTCTGATGATGACCTGGGTTTTTAAAATATTTCACTGATCAATTCAAGACAGCTGTGCTCTAAATTCAAACACAATTTACAGCATAGATATATGGCAATTTGAAGGTGTTGTTTTGTAAAATCTACTCTTTTGAGTTTTCTATCATGTTCTAACATTATTCCCTCTTTAAAAACATGCCTTGCTTTAATTATTTCAAACATGTTTGGCGCTGGCTATTTGCACAAATCTCCTCCTTAGAGTCGCCCTGCCACGCGCCTTCCCCTATCAGCTCCAACAGACTAGCGGCAGCAGCATTTAGCAAACGCCTGGTGGTACTGTGCGTCTGCTGAACTCACTATACGAACAACTTCTCAATCGAAAGCTGCTAGGAATGATTGTAAACAGCACAATGAGTAGCATTGTTGCTGAAAGTGGAGTGTAGGAGCTCCTTAAAGAGACAAGTGGCCCAATTTCAAGACATTAAATTGCAGACTACCAATCTTTAAAAGCCAGTGGGCTTTTAAAGATACCGTTTCTTTTTTTTTTTTATCTGAAATGTTCCTAAATAAGCAAGAAAGTCGCTGAGTTGGTAATAGTGTAATAACTACTGTTAACTGTAAATGTGTAGACATGACCTGGTTGGTGGGTCTGTCAGTCAAACCAAACGAGCACAGGGATTGATTTTTAGACCTTTGCTAAGGTAGATAAAATCAATTGATAAGATCGGCTTCACATGTAAGTATGAAGCCGTAAAATACACATCCCCCTTTAAAAAAAGTAACAGCAGATATCAGAAGGTAACAGAAAGGTTGATTACATTCATCAACATTGCTCTGTTTTTTTTTTTCTGCTTACTTTTCAACCTCAGTCTGTTTTTTGAGATGTCAGGTTTCTCTTCCAAATGCCTCCAGAGACCACAATTCCTTATACAAGATGCTAAACACAATTCAAAATGTTACTTCAAAATCAGTTTCTTTGTTCTAAACTAGCAAACACAGCTTCAATCTGCCCTGCTTCCATTTAAAGGGGAGTTCCTGCTCTTATGCTGCACCTTGTGCCACCACACTTATGTCATTTTGTTTTTTGGGCTAAGATTTTTTTTTTCTTGTAGAAAGAGACTTATAATAATTCTGAAAATTGCTTTATCATCAACGTATCTACTTGTGGTTGCTGTTTGTCTTTGTTTCTTAGAATGAAACTAGACTGGCTTTACTTATTCATACGTTTGTTACCAGTTTCCTCTGAACATCTTTTCCAGTTACTGATTCTAATGTGCGCATGACTGAATAATTTGCTGTAGATTCTTGGTACAATTTTTCTTTATTGAACTTTTGATTATTTCATAAAAAATAAAATTATTTTACCTTTGAAACAGCATCAGATTTGTAAGAACACACATCTTTGACTGGAGAAAAAAAAAAGTAAGTAATTTTGTTATCTTTGATTGAAGATACGAGTTTTGTTGTGCAGAGCGACTGAGCCCTCTTTGTCTTGTCAACAAGTTCGACAGCCATACTTTCACAGGAGTGATAGTGTGCTGTCATTACAACATTTGTGGTTTAACCTAAGTGGTGTTGTCGTCATCCCGGAGCGGATGGGTTGAATTTCTGTGCACGGTCTGCAGCTGCAACCTCTGGTTGGGTTTCAGGAGCAGAACCATCTAGATCTGATCTGAACACAGTACGACCTAAACGCTCAGGCGAACTGCCTGCCTGCTCAGTGAAAGTAGAAATCTGTTTTCAATTTGTTAATGCTGACCCAATGACTGAATACAAATAACCTGAAAAGAGGCAACGTTTACTTTCTATGAAGATTGACGGTTTACCTAAATCGTTTTTCCGAAATCATTAGAGATTGAATTGAAGGTGGCATTTACTATATTTTATTTTTAATGCCTCATCTCAGAGCTTCTGTCATTTCTAAACTCTTAAAGGTATATTTAATTTTTTCTGGTTAACACAGAGAACTCTGATGCCACGTCATGTCTGCTGAGAGGGAAATCTTATGACTCAAATACCACAGATGTATTTTCCAGGCAGGCTAAGGTTTATTTTTGAAAGTTTGTTATTCTGGTTTTGTTTTTATAAATGCTCGGAATAGGAATGAAACGCATAGTGTAAAAATTGGATAATAAGTGGTTGGATTATTGTGATGATTTCATTAAATAATTTACAACCATAAAAACAAACACTGCTCTAAAAACAACTTACTTATTGAATAAAAAGAGTGGGTTTTTTTGTTTGTTTTATTTGTTTAATAAATGAAACAAATCCCAGGGATTTGTTTAATCAACTGGTTTAAAGTAACAATCATTCTGGCTGTCCTTGTGGTTTGGAAATGTTGTCATTTAGTTTCCCATTATTTTCACAGGATGAGTAATTCTTAACACCTTTCTTTGCACAGTAATGACAAACAATATGACAATTACCCACCCATGGATCGGAGACGAAATTACGCACAACCAAACGTTTGGATAAATGATCCCTTTAAAAAAAAAAAAAAAAAAACACATGATCTTGAGTGTGTGATTTTAAATGTAATTCAACTTTTCCTGTCGGGTCAGTTAAATTAGCAAAATATTTATATTCAGTAAATGTTGGATTTTCTTTTTTTGTTTGTTTTCTTCAAATCCTGGAGTTTTCATGAAACGTTTAGTGCTTGGTTTTCAGCTTCTGACAGATTTCTGCCCTGTTCCTCCTTACAGAACTGGTCTGACTGAGTCAGCTTTCCTGGCCACCTTGTCCAAATAAACATTTTCAGCTCTGCCCACAGATTGTCTATGGAACTGAGATCAGGGCTTTGTAATGGTAACTCTGTTGTCTTTTATCCACTTTGTAACCAAACTAGCAGCATGAGTTGGATTGTTGCTGATCCACATTGCCCTTTTTTCTCCCATTGTGATAATGCTCATATTGGACAAACCCTTTGAATCAGAAATAAATTTGGCACGTTCTGCAGATTTTTTATGTAACCCCTTCAGATTATCTTTTGCAATTTTAAAAATACCTAAAAATGCAAATAAGCATGTAATTCAGTTCATTGTCTAAATAATAAAATACAAATGTCTTTGCCTAAAATGCAATAACATAGCGTTCCTTTAGCTTACTCTTGGTGCAAAGGACTCTTCTGAAGCTAAAAAAAATACTTCTAATATCAACATGTGAATAGCTTTAATTTGATTAAATTATTTGAGCTGGTTTCCTCAATGCAGTGTAGGGGTGCTGTGTTGATTAGTTTTAGGATTGACTGATTAATAATTGAACAGGAAAGGTTGCGTAACAGAAGATTAGAAGTGTTCAATTGCAGAAATTTTGTGCTAAATGTTTTTTTTAAAGGGGGTAGAACAATTTTACAGACAAAGTAACAATGTTCTACGGCGGTCTGTGTTTTCATCTTAAATGAAAAATTCTTTGTACAGTTTTGGTTTAATTACTGCTCTGTGTTCTTTCAGCAAATGGCATTTTTTAGAATCTGTACACTCTAAAAAAGCAGTGAACAATTATTTTCTTAAATTATTTGATGTTTATTTCAGCAATCGGTTCATCACGATTAACTCAAATTAATCATTTCAGCCTTAATATAGTCTTTGCAATATTCAAAATTAGTATTTTAGTGAGCCGTTTTCCTCCTTGTGCAGCCCAATGTTGAAGAAATGACTTTTGCACCTTCAGGCATTTGGAAATAGTATCCAAGGATGACGCCAGTGAAAATAAAAAGCTTATGTCCCTTTTTGTTTTTTACCTTGTATGTAAATAACTCCTTTCAAAGTATTAATTCAACCCATTTATCGTGCCAAGTTCTTCCTCTCAGTGTTAAGTTTCAAACAAGTCAAGAACTGTGTTGTCTCAAAGTGCTTCTGCTTCTCAAATGTTGCTCTATAGTTGGTGTGGGTTTGTAATCGGTCCTCCTGTCATCTGTAGGTGCTGTGTGGTGAGACAGAGGCGGTGGACTTGCGGCATGCTGAGGCCACTCCCCCTAGCTCAGGATGAGTGTCAGAGATGGCGCTGCCACCATGGCAACAAACGCAGGTGGAGGTGGAGGAGGGGGAGTGGGCTGTAACGATCCAGACGACCGCATGTACCTGCTCCAGATCTACCCACGGCTCGCTTCCCAGGCGTCCACCTGCTGCAACCTCAGGTGGGTTCCCCGAGATTTGGTGGAGGTGTAACATTTGCATTTGCTATACAAGAGTGACAATCCAATGAAACATAATAAAATTTAATTGGAAAACGGTTTTTGTGGCGTGTTTTTGTTGGCCTTCAGAGTGCAGAAGAATGCAACGACAGCCTCTGTAATCTCGGACGCTGCTGCGACGCTGGGGCTGGACCCCGGCGGTCTGTATGTGTTGGCAGAGGTGAAGGAAAGCGGCGGGGAGGAGTGGATCCTGGAGGCTGGAGACTTGCCCGTACAGAGGGTTCTGCTTTGGCCCCGAAAAGCTCAGGAGCAACACCCTCAGAGCGCTGGCTTTTACTTCTTGCTGCAGGTGAGACTAGCAACTCTGTCTTCAAGCTGTCAAATTTAGTCTAGCAAGAGAAGTGCTGCCACTGTTTGTTGCATGGTGCTTCCTTCTGCTTTCTTTCACTTTGTGGTGATAAGTCGTCGAACTTAAGCAATAGATTACGCATTGATAATAGGAAATATGACAAACCAGAGTGCTACTTGGCCCCAGGCGTAGGTGTATTTTTAAGAGTTGCTTTTGTATCGAGTGAGAAAAAACAGAAATCTGGCAATAAAATGTGTTTTTCTGCATTGTATCCAGGAGAGGAACTGCGATGGCTCCATCCATTACGTTCACCTCCCACCTTCGTCCAAGGAACAGGAAGTACAGCAGCTAGCTGCGAGGGGCTTCCTCCCCCCTCCCCAGGATGACTTTGCAGACCTCTGCAACCTCCCCGTCCTCAGTGAGGACAGCATATTGAACAATCTGCGCTCACGCTTCTACAAGAAAAAGATCTACACCTATGCAGGCAGCATCCTCATCGCCATCAACCCGTTCAAGTTCCTGCCCATCTACAACCCCAAATATGTCAAGATGTACGAGAACCACCAGCTGGGCAAACTGGAACCTCATATTTTCGCCATTGCCGACGTGGCCTACTACGCTATGCTCAGGAAGAGGGTGAACCAGTGCATCGTCATCTCCGGGGAGAGCGGCTCTGGCAAGACCCAAAGCACCAACTTCCTGATCCACTGTCTGACCGCGCTCAGCCAGAAGGGCTACGCCAGCGGGGTGGAGAGGACCATCTTGGGAGCCGGACCCGTCCTGGAGGTAGGAAGGAAAAACGCGTTGCAGCAGAACAAGTCAAAGTATAGAGACATGATCGAGATGGAGGAAAGAATCCATGCAGTCGACTGGATTAATGTAACTCTTTTTACTCATAGGCCTGTCAGGATAACTAATTTTGTTGGACAAAAATTAGTGTCCAACAAAAATTGTTGGACACTAATTTTTGTCCAACAAAATTAGTGGGGCAATTATTAGCAATAATAATTGCCCCAGTTATTATTTTTGTTGTTTTGAGGCTATTTTCGATTAAGGTATTGTTCTTTAATTTAGTAAAGAACAATTAACACAGGAAGTGGAAGATATTTTAAATGTCCAAAATAAAACACAAGAACCAAAACAATAAATGAAATGGAAATAAACACCACACACAACAGACACCATAAATAAATTGGATTATGTTTCTATAAACAAAATTGCCCTTCAAAACATATTAATCATTGGAATGGAAATCATCAAGACCATTTTAATTTATCATGCAATTAATTGACTAATTGCTTACTGCAGCAGGCTTGATGAATCATAATCAGGTTCTTCATTTATAAATACAGATGAATAATTGTGAAATATTGGGGAAATAAAAAAAAAAGTTTATTTTTCCCTTCAACTTAAATAGTAAAATGTTTCTTATCTTTGAAGTTTAGTTGCATAGCACATTTCATCAACAAGGCAGTTCAAAGTGGTTTAGATCATAAAAACACCTTTATGTCACCAACTGTGAAACAAGATAAACATCACATTTTGTCAGTCTAAATCATCAATACACATATTGATCAAAGGCCACTTTCAATCTACAAACCAGTCAAATCTGGCCACATTTACTACCCCCAATGAGGAACAGCATCCCCACAGCATCATGCTGCCACCACTGTGTCTTGAGTCAGGATGTGCCGTGTTGTCTTTCCAAAACACATGTGCAATTTTGTTTAGGCCTTATCTGACCAGACCTCCTCCTCCACATTTTCACTCAGTGTGGCAGGAATCTGTAAACAGGATTTCTTTTTGCTTTCTTCTGACTCATTTTATACTGGCCAGATTTGTGCAGCCTACCAGTCTGTAGACTGATTATACCACCTGATCTGTTGATCTCTGTAGCTCCTCCAGAGTCGCCATGGGCCTCTTGGTACCTTCCATGTTTAGGTAGACTAGAGAGAAGAGCAATGATGTACTGGATTATGACATAAGATCCCATAAGTACAATAACATTTGTAGTTCTTGTGCAACAAATTATGAAAATGATCAAGAGGTCCAAATACCTCTGCAGTGCATTGTATGTGTTTGCTGTAAGTCATGTTACTTCTTGTCAGGATGAAAACGTTTTGCCGTTTTGATGAAATTATGTCCAGTAATTGGAGATCCTCCCTCAAAATTGATCGTCATGCTGTGTGAAACTAACTATATTTGGAGATGATTGATGAAAGTTATAAATAATGAAAGTGTAAAAGCTTAGACAAAGAGGCTGTAGTCTAAACTGAAAGAAGAAATGAAAAGAAAGAAGGAAGTGGCTTCATTAACCCCTTCATGTCTCCTTGAGCTGCTGGAAACGCTTGAAGCTCTTTATGTTTGTCTCACTTTGAGGCAACACTAAAATCTTTATCATATTTTCCATGCCAGCTCTAAACTTAGCTTAGAGGCAGTGACGTTTAATTGTTTTCGTCAGGTGACTGCTTCTCTTCCTGCATCTCTTCCAGCAGAGTTTACGAGCTTATGCTGACTCGCTCAGTCTAATCGCTGACAGACACGAGTGAACACAAACGGAAACTTTAAACTTTCAAAGACGTTTATCTGTTATGCAAGAAAAGCATAGAAAAGGCTAAAGGTTCTTTGAACAAAATGCTTAAAATCAACCCGGTTGTAGTTGTAGCACACAGTCGACTGTGATGGATTGTTTGTTTGAAACAGAAAAGTTAAGACTTTATGACCTCTGAGGGATTTTTCCTGACTCTATTTTTCCCAGAATGTAACCAAGCCACCTTGTTTTGGCCTCTTACCTCCTATCCATATTCCTGAATTTAAATATCTGACAATACCAGAGCCCTTTTATTTAAATATTTTAAATGGTGTTCATATTTTTATGCCTTGCAGAGTCGGTGGTTATTGTGTGTTGTTTCACAAGTTTCAGGTTCGCCCTCTACTTTTTGTGTTTAGGTTTTTATGACGCGTGTGATTACAGAACAAGCAACAGAATGAAAACCTTTAAACATTCAAGTCTTGGTCGCATGCAGAGCTTCTCTGTGATCTGTGCCACAGACTGACATCATGATGACTGCAGCATAGAAGATGAATCAGACCCTCCCTCTAAATTTGGATCACTTCTCATATTGTGGTCATTGGTTCTGCAAAGCAGATTGCAGAATTTTTTTTTCCCATCTACCAACAAATAAATGCTGGCAGAGAGAGTTCAGTTGCATGATTTAGTATTGATCGTGTGTGAGTATATGAAGAAGGTGCTATGTGATTTCCTTTAGCCTTCCAGTGAGTGGCCTCCTCTTCCTCCTCCTCCTCCTCATTATTGTCTTGGAAATGGTGAAAATCCAGGTTTTCTTCTCCCTTCTTCATCATGACTACATCCCTGTGGATATTTGCATTAAACTCATGTCAAGTCTTGCAGTTTTCAATTTGCTGTCCTGAAGGTTGTCTACGCATCCTTAAAAAGTTGTAAATTCATGATGTGAAATGAAGGCCTTAAAATGTCTTAAATTCATTAGAAAATTTAGAATGCGTTAATCACAGGTCTTAAATTTTGCTGCAGCAGTACAATTTAATCTCCAATATTCTATGTCCTGTAGTTTATTTTTCTCGTGGGACTTTTCTGTCAGGCAAAAGTTTGAGTTGCACAGCGACATCCTCATTATGTTCTGTGAGTTGAGGCAATTGAGGCTACCGCTAACTAGCTGCTAATAAACTCTTGCTAACTAGCTAGCTTGTTTTGCATCTAGCTTTTTATGTAAATGTAAATTTATCATGAGTTTGGCTGGGCAACGTTTGTCTCTGCCACTGGCTCACTTCTGTTGCCCATCTGTAAGATACTGTGAGTAAAAAAAGCTTGGCTATAAAATTATATATCGTATGCTATTTTCCTTTGTACAACTCTGTCGTAGAGATCCTAAATTTCCCCCAAAAAGTCTTACATTTTTGTTGGTGAAACCTGCAGAAACCGTGTCCTGAACATCTCTAAATTAAGAACGTGCTGAGCAGGCGGACGTCTCACTCGGTAGGAAGCAGACGGTTTGGCAAAGATAAATCCATGAGTATGTCTAACCTCCCACAGACAGTCCAGAGATCCTGGATGCTATGTGTGGAGGATGATTTAGATTTACTGGATCTGTTGAATATCTGATCTACATCCATATTTGAGCCTTTTGTGACTTTCAGACAGGAAGCAGCCAGTTTTGACCGCGCTGGTGTATAGATGATGATGCCGAGGAGGAGAAAGCAGAAGCCAGACAAGGAGAAGCATCTGAGCAATGGCTGCTTCTCTGATTACTTCACACTGAGTAGAGAGCGGTGTGACGGCCTGGTGGGGGGATTTTGAGGCTAGTCACGATGAAACCTCACTAATAAAGATATTAGTGCTCAAACAGGCAGACATTTTGGACTTTTTGTGTTGAAATCATTTAAAGTAATCTGTTAAACTGTTAATAAACAGAGAAAGTGTAGCCATGGCAGGGGAAGTACAACAAGGACGGCCATGACAATAATTACGCCAATAGAAAGTGAATTTATTTTAACTTGTGTCCATGACGACAGTACTCTATGGGGGGGATCAGTCCAAAATCTGGAGTCTTTGGGTGAATTTTACATGAATATTGTAAATTCTGACATGAATACCGATTAGCTCAGGCTGTCTGGACCTTTAGTATCTGGTTATACATTTTCTTAGATGTACACATGCAGTGGCTTTTAAATACTCTGTGTTAACTTGAGTTCATTTAGGAGTCTTTTTTGGGTCTAAGAAAGATAAGCAGTTGTTTGAACAATTAAGGACATGCTGTACGCTGTCTCTTGTATTAAAATAGGTCGACCATGTGAAAGACCTTCATGCTACCGTCTTTCATGAACAAATTTAGATGATGGCTCTTAGCTTTTACTTTGTCCATGCAAACATTTGTGCTTCAGTGTTTCCCAAAAAGCTGAACCATTTTGGGAAAGTAAAAAATAAATTCAGGGTTTTGTTTTTTTTTACTAATCTGTTGGAGCTGAAGATATATTAAATCACTGCTGTGGCAAAAACTTGCTTGGTAGATATTTTTTATGTGGTATTCATTCAAAGCACTGCATGCTAATAATAGACTTCTTTAGTTTAATAGGTTTTCTCTCTCAATTATACCCACAGTGAATCGACTAAGAAGCGAAAGTGGTAGCAACATTATGATGATGGAAAATACTAGTATTGTAGTATATGGTATTAAAATCTTGCTGCTCTTACCACCAACAATAATCAGATGCTCTTCCTGCTCCTGCCTTAGACAACAGTAATTTTTGTAACTTTATTCTCTCATTATTTTTGACCCTGTTGCATTCTCAAAACTGACGGTTTAATTCCCTCGCATGCAGCTATCAGTAATCTCTAGGTTTATCTGCTGCAATGTTTTATTCTTTTAGGCTGCTTTACGTTTGCTAACAGGATGAAAATATTTTGTATTTGCAGTACCATGTGAGATATTTTTGTAGTTTAATTTTTTTTTTTTTCAACAAATATAGACCCAAAATGATACAAAAATTGCATTTGGCCTAAAAGCTGAAATCCCTTTACTTGGATTTAGTTTGATTGGCTCTGTAGCTTTGAGGGAATTAATACCTCAGTGCTGATCTGGAAGCAAATCTGCTCCACATACTTCTCAGTTTTATTTCACAATAATGTGACCAAAAATAGATCCTAAGTCAGAAAAGCCTGATGTGGAATGCAGCTCGCTCGACGTACAAGATATTGTGGAAAAGCAAAAACCAATGTTTTGTAAATGTGAGTTTATAGAAACTCGATATACTTGGGAAACTGCACAAAAGTTTACCACAAGCATCCAAGCAGTAAACTCCCACCAAGAATCTGGAGCAATCTGGAACAGATAGAAGCCGTTGCTTTGTTGCCATCCATCACCTGTCAGGTTTTTGTCATCTCTTGCACACGCTGCAGCTTTCAGATGCATGTAAATGAGCGCAGCTTCAGTCCCCTGATGTGCTTCAGTCTCTTGTTCCGGATGTCAGATTCAGGGATGAGAGGGGGAGGCAGTGGAGTGGTGGTGGTGTTTTTTTTGTTTTTTTTCCCCCTCCATCAGCAGAGTCGTGTCCCTTTGGCAGACTGGTTGCCACTCTGCTGCTCTATTTTTCTGTGTGTGTGTGTGCGTGTGTGTGTGTGTGTGTGTGTGTCAGCCTGGGCCAAAGCTGCGGTTTCAGGGCCAGACATAGAGATGGGCTCAAATTTAGCTGGCCAGGGTACGAGAGGAAGTTGAAACTGAACTGCATCTGGAAACAGTCATGCAGTTATAATGGGTATTGTGCAGCTTTGCATTTCCTGTGGCCCTAATCATGCTATCACACATTTCTTTTATCTCAGAAGGGTTAGCACTTTTATGGAGACTCTTTCAATATTTTCATCTTTTACCAAGCAAGGGGGACCTTTTGATTTCAAAAGTGGGTCACATGGACTAAGAAATTTGGGCATTTCTGCAGACAAAACGTAATATGAATGTATTAGAAGAGCAGAACCTGGACACATTAACACGATTCATTAGATGATTGGTGGCAAATCTAGGGAACATTCCTGCACGGTCTTATCAGTAACAGGAAGCTATTTATGTGCCAGCTTTTTAATAAATAAATTAAAACAATAGTCTTAGCTAAATGTTTACTGTCATTTAAATAATGACAGCCCAGCAAAAAAACTGAAATGAATGATTACAAAAGAAGTCAACGTTTGCTGTTGCAAAAGGTTTTCATTTGGTGCCTTTTTGTGCCGGGAGTCGATCAGATTACTTTAATCAAAACATTGCGAGTCCGCCTGCCGGTCTGTTAGTGTTTCTCCAGCTATAGTGGAGGCCTTAAAGCCTGGGCAGCATTTTGACTAGATGAGATCACCAGTTGTAGAGCTGGATTCTGACTCCGCACTGAAGTTCTGGCAAGTTGCATGTCCTGAACCTCGGACGTGTTGGAAAAGTGGCCATCCAACTTTCTTTTTACCGCTCTATAAATCATTTGGGTTTGTCTTTAATTGAACATAGAGAATAGATTGTTTTTAACACCTTCTGTGGGCAGAAACGATGAAACGACTTCTGCCTGCTAACAGCCGAAAAGATCTCCGAGGTTTTCCCATAAACTGGTTCAGCTGGTTGAGCCGCTGTTACGTAATTACCTCTCGTATTATTTTACCCGTCTTTGAAGCTTTCTTATTCTCATTGTCAGCTAGAGCTGCCTCTGTTTGAACATGCTGGCACATATGTGGGATGATGTCAGAAATGTGTCAGAGCAGAGGGGGATTTTTTTTTTTTTTTTTTTTCAAAGTCATATCTGACAGCTGCGATTAGAAAAAGGCGAGGAGTGAGGGGAAATCTCAAACATCCTAAAAAGATCTGTGTCACCTAAGCTGCTTGTTCTGTGAGGAGATATCCATCATCTATAATGCTTATCCTTGCAGGGTCATTGGGGAGTTGGTGCTTATCTCTAGGGGTCATCACAGCAGTCTCTCACTGGACAAACAACCATGCATGCACAAACTAGTAGATGGTGACGATTTAGAGAGAATGTGCTTTTTATTTGTTTATTTAAACCATTTTATGTTGTGTTTAACACAATAAACTGAACCATAACAGTTTTTAGGGGAGGAAAAACAAATCTAAATCTATAAGGGCAGGTCAGACTTTACTGAATATCGACCATTAAAGGCAGATTGATGCATCTCTAATTTAATTTTTACAATTTACCATACATGGCTTATATCTGTCTGAGATATTTTTTTTCTCACAAAAACAATTTCTGTTGTTTTTTTTTTTTGTAGTTCTGATTTTCTGGTGTGAATTGTAACTCTTTTGCATTCTTGTTTCATTGGTTGTAGCTTTTGTGAAGCACTTTGTGTTGCTTTCGACTGTAGCCGTTTCTATTAATAGGAACAGATTGATAAGTAGTCCTTCGAATGGATTTACAGTAACATTTGAAATGAGATTAAACTCTTATTGAGAATGAAACTAAATCATTTTAGCAATTCAGGTTTTTAAAGAGGAAGAAGCAGGCAAAGTAAAGCCAACATTACAGGTAATTAGTAAAACAGCTGAAGTGTGAATCATATTTCTGCTTTCTCTCAGGGGACCGCTCTGCGAGGGCCCCTACATTAGCCCTGTAACTTAAGTTTGTTGTCCCAGTAAAGCAAACATTCCTGTTCAAAGTCCCCGGCCGGCCTGCTCCATGCCGCTCCGTCTCACGGCTTCAGACAGGAAGTTCCTATCATCCGGAACCCTTCGACAGGAAGCGGCTACGACACAGGAAGCAAAGGCAGTGGTTCCCTCTGCTGTTAGCTCAGAGCCTTGAAGGGTGTGGACACACCAGAGCACCGCATTGTTGTTCAGGAAGTGCGGAGGAGAAGCCGGCCATTCTGCCTGCTGATCTATTGTTTATCTCTCCTGCATGAGTGGTTATTGAGAGGGGGTGGCATTGTGTACGAGTCTGGGAAAGGCTGGCATTACTGCGTTTAAGTCGCCTTGCCGTGCCCGTGATTCTTCGTCTAAACGCCCAAACAGACACTTATACGCAAACACCTTCCTGTAATCACACCATATAGGAACTCACTGAAGGCTAGAATATGCTTTTCTTTACAGGCTCTGTGCAGCGTACATGCTGCATCGGTCTGCAGGCCGTTTCAACAGCTATTCGTGGTGCTGTGACCACACCACAAGCTGGAGTTTGATGTGGGACTCATCAGGGCATGGGTGGAGCAGCTTTATATGGTTCCAATCTGGCAAAACTCTGGACCGCAAGTTGGCATTCGACGCTCTGGCCCAGCTATTAAAGCTCTGCACCTTTAACGTGTCTGTGCATTAACTTGTCACTTTAAACCTTTATACTCCTGAGTGAATGATCACCTATAGGGCTGTTCAGGTGAAATAGAGATGTACTGGGAAAATGGCCGGAGATCAGTTTCAGGCTTTTAAAGTTACTCTAATCCGGCAGTAGAGTGAGTTCTAGATTTACTCAGGCATTTACATTTTTACATTTTTATCTGGTTAAAAGTGAAAGGAAAATAATCATTTTCAATTAATGCATGAAAACAAGGAGTCCTATGTTTTTAAGTCTGTAAATGCATCATCTAAAAGCTATAAATGCTATCCTGACTTAAATAAAATCAAATAAACATTCATGCTTTGATGCATAATAGTAGGTAGAGATTCAGTAAAAAAAAACAAATGTTAATATAATTTTAATTTTAATTTTTGGAATACGATACAAGCACAGAACAGTAATTTCCTGTTAAACGTTCAGATCTGAGCTAAATTACAAGCATGAGATTGTTCATCTATTAAGAACTGAACTGGAATAATATATTTTTCAAAATTATATAAGTTAAGATAAAAAACTAATTAAACTTTTTGACTTGTGCTCATTTACACAATTAAAAATATAGCGAAAGCAGCACGTTCGAGGCTGAAAGTCCAGCGTTGTTTAAGATGTTGCCAAGCGTGCATCAAAAATTACTTACATTTTTTTTGCGGGCTAAATGAGGAAGAGAAGCTGTCTGTTCCTGTTTCCCCCATGTTTGGATTATGATCTCTCTGTGACGGATGCACAGACGCCTCATAACTTGATTTGCTCCGTTTGCTGCAGCTTTTCCGGAGGACATATTTTAGCTCGTTTTCCCATCTGTGCATGTTTCACTCATTTTAAATATGCAGCCAAAAATACTGCACCCTTCTTGCAAATGTTTGTGGGTTTCTGTTGTTAATGTTTAAATAACTTCTCTCTGTAGTTGAAAAATGATGACTGTTGAGAAAAAAAAAGGTTTATTTTCTTAAATCCTTTCTTGATCATTTGTTTTTCACTTACTGCTAAGAATATGTTGAATTTCTAATGTCAGCCATTGCATCTTGAAGCAATTACATTCTTCTTTCTTCAGCCACCATTACCACTATTTTATTTTCATCATGCTGGCATTCAACACAGCCCATGGGAGCCGTTGGGTGTTAGTAAAACAATTTCCCTACCTAAAAACTCAATGTCCCTTGAAGAGAAACAAATGTGGGATCATAGGAAAAAAGTCAGTTTTCAGACAGCTCCTAAAGTGAAAAGATTAGATTGTGAAGAATAGGTGTTTAAGTCTAAAATGAGCAGCATCATAATGTGTTATAATATTGGTTTTAGATACTACTTTTTAAAAAATATAATTGTGAAAAACCCCAAACTGCAACAGATCTACAGCTATTTTGCAGCTAAAGGGTTTTTTCTTTTTGCCACAAACTTCAAAAGAGAAGTTTGTTTGTTGATCTTTTTCCAACATACAAAAACACTCATTTGGCAGCACTTAATCAGCTACCATACAATGTCAATACTAAAGCCACTGACTTTGCCTCTGCATAGCTGGTTTTGCTAGTTCAGCTGAGAGAAACTTCGAGGGTTCAGACGTAAGCGGAGTCATAAACTGATGACCTGATGAGAAGCCGTGCGGAGGAGGAACTGTGTAGCGACGCGGTCGAGTTCAGTCTCTGCCAGCAACATGTGATCTCACCAAAGACTCATTCAGTCCGACAGCAAACACTGATTATTTTGTCACAGGGTATTGTGAGAGGTTAGCCCCGGTTACCAGAGTTTACATACTTGATCTCCCGACTTCCCCGTACGTCTGGTTTAACCCGAAATTCACGGAACTTTTTCAAAATTGTGTCTCAAATCGCAACATTTTTGTTGTTTGGAGATCCTACAGTTAAAACGTCCCCGATGAAATGTTTGAATTGACTTTTGTTGTGCCCGTGCTGTAGTGAGGCGTCTGTGTCAGAGCCCGCTTGGCGTCTCCCTGTGGAAACATTTCGCTGAAGCCCTTTGGCTCGTTTTGAGGTTTGCTCCTCAAAGTTTCAGAGCTATCCAAAAGAGGTCTAGCAGCAGCACATTTTTTACTGATAATTGTTTTCTTGCATTTTGGTTGGAATTATCCATAAATTGGTTTCATATGACATCAATCCAAATCCTTGAAAGTTGTCCTCCCTCCATGACCTTTTAAATCTGTCACAGATCTTATGACTGAATTAGTTTTTGCTTCATATTTTGGCGCATTCAAAGCTCGCTCTGTTTGTGTTGCTTGTTGAGGCAAACAACTTGATCTGTGCTGTTTGAGAGGCACGCCTCCTGCTGTGTTTGTTGAGAACAGTGTGTGTGTGTGTGTATGTGTGTGTGTGTATGTGTGCAAGTTTATGTGCTAAATAGGGATGTGAGACTTCATACTGGTGGGTCTGGCGGTACGAGTGGAAACGTACCAGGAACAGTGCTACCAGAAAAGCCAGCTCACAGCACAGATAAATCAGTTGAAGCGGTGGCGTGCAGGGAGATTTGAGTCAACCGTGGCCGACAGCGCGCACACACTGCACAGTGCTGTGGCCCCGCGTGTCCCCTTCCCTCCTTCTCTCGTTCTCTCTTTCTTTATTTCCCTCCTTTTTCTTCTTAACCTCCTTGTGTGCAAACCCCCGTTTCGTAAGGCCGTGTCTATTTTCCACAGTCACAGCTTGGCAAGCTCTCGGTCTCCTTCCTCATACCTACTGAGGGCTCCAGCCAATTGAGTTTAAAGATCGGATCACGCTCATGGGCATGTTTGAATACGAACGAGGCTGCGAGATGTTTGTAATTCCCTCCGTGGTGCAGCAGTGCGGGCCGTGCAGAGATTTCCCAGGGTTTTTGTGCTCCTGGTGTGCGGGGGGAGAGGGAGGGGATCCGGGGAGAAAACTGGGCACAGTGAGCAGCATTGAGCGCTGAGCTCAATTGTGCCACAGGATCAATACTCTGAGCACAGGAATTGAAGTTTGAATAAGGGTTAGGGGTTAGTCTCCTGCAAAATTACTCAGAGTACTTGAACTGTTTCACCTTTTTTTTTTTTTTTAACTACATTGCAACCACAAACTAATGTATTTTATGTGCCAGACCAGAACTCGGCAACCTTTACAATCCAAAGAGCAATTTTTGCCCCTCAGTCCCAGATGAATGAAATTAGTTTGAAGCCACAAAAACATTAAGAAGAAATCCAATAAAGGAAATTTGTTTTCATTTTTCTATGGAAGAATTGTCATTTTAAATTAAAACAAAACTTCAAACTAAAGCTACTAAAAAAAAAAAATATTCCTTTTATGTTGGGGCTGCACAATAGTAGGAAAACAATAATTGTGTTGAATATGGCAAAGACATTATTGTTTGTAATTATCCTGCATCTTCTCATGACTCTCCTCTTCACCACCATCATCTGAGCTTTAGCATCTCAGGCTGACATCAGGTGTCATCATGAAAGCCAGTAAAAGTTCACGCCACTGAGCAAAGTTTTAATTAATGACCCTATAAACACTTTGACCTAGCATTGTATCCAAGCAATCCTTTGCGAGTCAGTTGTTGCATATTTTCAAAATGTAATTCGATGTTTTTGTTCTCTTTTTTTTATATTTAAAATGGCTGCACAGTTTCTTAATGAGTCATAATTTAAAGTCGTCATGAACAGGAGTTGGAGAACCCCGTTAACTAATTATGAAGCTGAGTGACAAAATGTTTTCAAAATCTTCAGGCATTTGTGTGTATTTAGGCCTTTTTAACTCTTCATATCACCGCATAAAATCTGGCGCAACCTTCAGAAGGCATCTCGTTCGCAAATGGAGTTCAGCAGTGTGTAACTTTCGAGTTTTTCAGTTTAAGACATCTTGATGCTTTTGCAGGGCTTGAGTTTGCAAATTAGTCTTAAAAAGCTCTGGTTTGACTCGAGGGAATCGGTGTCACGCTTCAGCCCACCTCTTTCATCACGCATGAACAAGAAACCATTACCTGACGTGTCCCTCAAGTGTGAAAGTGTTACAGAATAGAGTGACATCTCGCTTGAATGATTTCTCTGCACCCAAAGAAAAAAAAAGAAAAAAAGTTTTGCACTAATTTAAAACGGGGAGGTATAAAAAAAAAAAGGAAGTGCAGTCAAGAAATCAGCATTTGTCCCCAATACTCTGATCAGCACCTGAGCGTTTATATCAAATTCACCCTGCATGTTGCTTTGGAAAACACAATGTGGCTCCTATTTAGCATTCACTGAGTCAACTTCCCCTGCGGTGGCTTTTAGTTTTGTGTGTGTGTGTGTGTAACCATGTGAACATGCGCATCATGAAGAAAAAAGTACTGCTGCTCTGTCACCATACCGATGCGGCGTTCTGGGCCCCTCGGTGAAGCCTGGTAGCTTCTAGCTGGACTGGAAATCACTCCACCCCCTTAGATGGAAACAGTCTTTTCTGTTGCTTACAGTCTGCACATGCTGCGCCAGCCCCCACTCATTTATCATCGCTGACCTTCTGCGCTCTCCTACCTGCAGAGATGCACACAGATAAGGCCGAGTGAAAGGGGAAAACAGAAAGAGATGGATGAGTAACGTGCGAGAGGAGGGCAGATTAATCGACTCGCTCTGCTCTGCAGCTTCAGCCAGAACAGAAGCGCGTTGGGCCGTCGGGTAGCGGGCCTCTTTGTTGTCAGGGAGGTGTTGTTGTTGATGAAGTAAGTTTGCTGGCAGAGTTGCGTGCTTAAGTGGAAGTACACTCCACTTTAGATTCGGTTGCAGAACTTCCATATATGGTCTGAAAGTCAATACGGTTCAGAGATGAAGATCACTGATGAGCTGCAAGAGGCTTGAAACCTGCCGTGGGGACGAATGGAAAAGACGCAAAGTGGATCATTAACAGCAGCTCTCTCAGCTCAGTGAAAATGTCAGGTATTTGTGCTGTAAAAATATCAAACCCTGATGGATTTTTTTTCCCCATATAATAAAGTGTCCTGCACAGTCAAAAGAAAACTCATCAGATTTGTTGAAAGAATAAAAATGAATGAATTTTAGCTCTCATTCTTGTTTGGTAGGAGTCTGTTAGTGTCCTTCTGCTCTGCCTCGCCAAGGTGTTTAATCTTTCAGATTGCGACGATATCTACTGTCCACAGCTCCCTTCGACTGAGGCCACAGATTTTCTGCTTCTGAATAGGCCGTTTTAAAATTTAAAATTTACCTGCACAAGGTTTGTTTTGTTGTTGTTGTTGTTGTTGATTGTGATGTATGTTGGTAACCCCTTTCATCGTTATAGTCAACTGCTAAAGGTTTTGAGTCAAACCTGACTAGTGTTTACACCTCCACATACTTTGATCCAACTTGAATAAAGCCTCTCTTCCATCTGAGAGAAGTGACCACTGATCATGGTGCTGCCACCACCGTGTTTCAGTGTATTTATCTGTCGTCTTTCATCGTCTGATAAATACACATTTTCCCATTGGATTTAGGGAGACATTAACCAGACATAAATTTTCTCTTTGAAATTAAAATTCTTTTGTCTTATAACCTCACTTCTTAGTCCAGAGACATGGAGAATAAAGGAGATGGATGTTATTTGTTTTTAAAGCTCTTAATATATTGCTTTGCCTTATTTATCAGAGTTACTAAGCTTGCTAAGCTTCTCTGACTGTTCCACGTCAGACTGCTCACTTTTTTACTGTATTCAGGGAGGCTTTTAATATTTAAAAATATGACGACATTCTGCTTTCATCTACCTGTTTCTCACGTGCTTTTTTTTATGTTTTCTTTTGTATATTGATTTTCTGAAGTGCTTTGACCAGCAATGTAGCGGACGTGTAAAGGACTACATAAATAAATGATTGCAAACAATTCCTGTGGCTCAATAAATGCTGCTCTTTGTTGCCTCTCTGAGAGCTTTATGAGAAACATCCATTTTTCGTAACGTCTCTGTTGCTCTATGCTTTATGTTCCTTCTTCAACCTCTCTGCAAACTTCGGCTTTATCTAAGGGTGCAAATGTCAGTAAATGGAGATGTGATAATGTTGGTTTGATAGTTTTACTCAAATATTTTTTGACTTTCTGTCTTCTCTTCCCCAGGCCTTTGGTAACGCTAAGACAGCCCACAACAACAACTCCAGCCGCTTCGGTAAATTCATCCAGGTTAATTATCTGGAGAGCGGAGTAGTCCGAGGGTAAGTAAAATAGCTCCTCTGTGTTTTGCTTCCTGTTGCTCCCTCCCCCCACCCCCACCCCACATCTGGATCTTAAGCCAAACGTCTTTTTTTTTTCTTTTTTTTTTTTTTTTTTTTTTTTTTTTAAATGGGCGGTCATGTGGTGCTCAGTGTGCATGTGGGATGAAACTTGGAGCCATTAGTGTGCTCTTCCTTTTTCTCTGCAGTCACATTCTGGTTAGAAGCTGCTTCAAAGTCTAGTCAGCGGGTGACTTCCTTATTCCCTCGTCAGGGCCGGGGAGAGCAGCCGCTAGAAACCAGCAGAGAGCTCAGAGTGGGATTTTCAGACTCGCATCAGCGCTGACAGCTGCTCAGAGCTAAAACAAGTGGGCATCCCCAGCCTCGGTTATCCCCCTGTGGCACCTGGTGCTCTTTCAGATTGTTTGCCCAAAGAAATGTCTGCAGAATCTATTTTAATAGGCTGAGGCTTTTCTTAGCTTCAGACTGAATCTTCTGAGACGATGGTTAACAGCTGCTGTCTGAGCTTGTGTGGCTCTGTTACTTTTCACAATAAAGAGACAGAACGCTATATTAGAAAGAGCCACAGGGCGTCACAGCAGCTCTGCTCACTAAACTTTACGCAGCCTTGCCTGCCTGTGCGTCCAGCTCCGCTGTGGCAGCCACTCCACTAGTTAACAGAGAAGCTTTATAAAGGGAGGCTGCCGCTCTAGTTTCCTCTACCTACTTATAAGAAATCAGAGGATTTCACGGTGTCGTGCATTTTACACTCGACTGTTGCGGTTCAAAAAGGAGCTTCTTGCCACGGAGTGTTTCGTGGCGACTATGTGTCAGTTTGAGCTCGTCTTCGGGACGTCTTGTACCAGCTTTGACTTTGCAAAAACCTTTGTTCTTCTTGAACTTTGTGACACTATGCAAGACCAAACCTCATTGTGTTTTGGGGGAGGATTTTATGTGATAAAGATCAGTCTGTGTTTGATTTTAGGTCACATTAAACAGGGAAACCAAATAACGTATCTGCTAGCTGTGCCTTGAGCAAGTTTCTGTGGTTATTTGTGTCATGGAAGCAGCTGCAAAGAGGAGAGCATATAGTGCTGGTAGAGAAAAACAGAGCAGTAACCATTGATACAGATGTTTTCTGTCCCCTCTCACGCCGACAACCCCAACATCTGTTGCAGCCAGTTGAAAAAGTCGCCTAATTAGTAGCAAGAATCCACTTTTTCTGTGAAAAGCACAAAGGTTTGTTAGAGAACCAAACAGGATGGTAGATGCCTAGACAAGTCAGCGATAAAGTAGTCATTCTAACTCTGGAGGAGCTGCATAGATCTACGCCTCAGGTGGGAGAGTCTTCCAGGCCTACATTCAGAACGATAAAAAATAAAAAAAAGACTACCAAACATGTAATTTCCACCTTGAATTACGGTGGTAGAAGCATCATGCTGTGGGACCTGAGTATAATGGCGCACAACAATATTTATTTCTGAAACATTTCGAAGACCTTTCCTACTACTTCACAATCGTGCACTGCTTTGTGTTAAAATCCAAAGTTTGTGTTGAAACGTGAAGACAAATGTCGAAACATTTAAGCAGAAAGAAGCCAGAGACCCAAATCCACCAAATCAACTCCAGGTGTTTGTGGTTAAAATGTTTCAGCTGCTTGCAATTTAAAAACAAGGTCATAGTCGTTTTCCGATTGTGCAACATAGGATGGCATTGTCGCACTAAGATACAAAACATTTCCAGCGGCATGAAGGTGAACACGAAAACGACCGACAGGTTCAGGTTTTTCCTCATTCTGCATGTAGCCGATGTGTTTTTGGTTCCTCGTAATTTATTTGACATATACGATCTTGTATTTTTCATCAGCATTTTTAATGCACCTGAACACTCTGACAGTGTCAGAAAGTACCAAGGAGTAATTCAAACGTTGTTATATTTATTTTTTTGTTGTTTTTTTGTTGTTTTTTTTAGTTGTTGCAGGTTTTAATGAGTCCGACTTGTCAGGTTTTGCTCTAATCGGCTTCAGAGGTATTTGTGAGTGCAGCCTAATCTGAATTCCTGTCGAGGAATGCTTTCTCAAAAAATGTCTAACATTTTATCTTTCTTCTAGATCTTGAACGTAGAACTTTTTTTTCCCCCAACAGCTTGAGAATGACATTATTATTCCGTGTGTGGCTTTGAAGCCAGGAAACGTCCAACACAGCACATCCCAACACAGCAGTAATTGAAAACTAGCAGTTAACAATGTTCAGTGTGAAAACTTTGTCGTGTCGTCTGCATTTTTGGTGGATGGACACCACCGAGTTTCTCACAGCGGAGCTCTATTCTTGGTGCGTCATGAGGACTGGCGTCAGTGTTGTTTTTTTCTTGGATATAGAGAAAACAAGTTAGACATATAAAATCTGATTTAGAAGACTTTATGGCCTCGGGTTGGTCTGTTTGGTAAATACCACTGCTTTTAAATCTACAGGCCTCCTGACGGCATCTGTATGGCATTTTAATGTTTTGCTGGATGCTAGTTTATAGTTTGTAACGAGTTCCGACGTGTGCGTGTGACTGTGTCTTTCTTTGCTCACTGATTGTTCCAACCGTCTGTCCTCGTGTCCACTCGTGCTCCTCCCCTCACTTATTCTTACAAGCTGACTTTGACTCACGCCGAGCTGAAATATCCAAATTGTTTAGTTACCTTTCCTCGTGTTTTCTATTCCCTCTTTCAGGGCTGTGGTTGAGAAGTACCTCCTGGAAAAGTCTCGCCTGGTCTCCAGAGAAAAGAACGAGAGGTATGGATCGACCCGAGGGCGGTTCTCACCCTCCACCCTCAGAGCGCTTCATCAGGCCGTCTGGTGGATAAACATGAGAAGTTTTTCCGCTCGGCAGACCCTGTTGGTTAAAAATGAAGTTCACGTGGAGTCGTCAGATATTCATCTGCAGAAACACTTACACTCCCACACGCTCTTATCCTCGCTGAATGTGATTTCAGCACACTTAACGGCACACCTGGGAAAGATGTGTAAAAACCCTCGAAATGAATCCTTCTTTTATTGCAGTAGCACAACTAAACCGGAGTCCTGAATGCTCTCTGTAAGCTTTAGCACCTCTGCGTTTAGGTAAAACCTCCTCCTGCCTGTAGGACGGGACCATTTCCTTTAATGATTGAGAGAGATCTTTGGTCATTCCCCTTTTTGCACAATTTCCCAAAGCTGGGGTCAGGACCTCACTAACAGGAAGTGTAGACTTTTTACATCATCTTGAGAAATCAAACAAAATGATAAAGAGAAAGCAAATTTATGCAACACATGAATCCGTCTGACTTTATTTATATTGTATGTTTAACACAAACTGCCACCCAAACACAACAGAGACCAATGTAACACTTTTAAACACAATTAAACTATTTTTTTCTATTGAACTATTGGAACAAAGCTAGAGAGAAGAAAATACTAGTAAATAGTAATGTGGAAACACAGAAGAATAAAACAGAAGGCACACATTTGTCACGTTAGAAAAAAAAGAGAACTTTGAATCTAAAAAGAATAAAGTGCTCCAATTTACAGCTATGAATCAATTACTCAACATTATGAACAGGATGACATTTGTTTGGAGAGGAAAGACTTCTTAAATCAGACACAAGCTATTTAATGACGGGCAGTGCTGGTAGTGCTGTCATAAATTTATACGTTGATTTACTAATTATTCTGAGTCGGAAACTGTAAAGGCTGGAAGTAAGCACTGCTCTGGTTTTATCTATTTATGGTTGTGGATCCAAACACTGAATAACCAGTTTTCAGTCCATCGGTATATGAAACCAGATTTAGATTTAAACAAGTTTATGATGCTGAAGCAAACCCACAGAATGACAGATCCTTCACCGTGCTTCACAGTGACTATGAGCTGACTCATCTTCTCTTGAACGCCAAACCCACCTGAAGCATAAGTCGCTGTAATATCTCCGTCTTGACTCATCTTTTATTTGACACCTTGTCAACGTGTCAGTGGAGGTTCCAGGCCAAATTTACCAGGAAAGGGGGACAAATTAAATAGTGGTTTAACGGATGAAAGCTGTGATCCTGTCCCAACACGATAGAAGCTAAAAGTGCAACATAAAAACATTTTTTAAAAAAACATCTCAGTTACATTTATTTTACAGAAATTGAAAGTTTAGCCATGGCTATTATATTAACAAAAACAAATACTTCCAAATTTGGTTTTTTTTTTCTACCCTCTGGTTAACTGTGGTAAAATTAAAAGTTATGTTTTTCATAACTCCATTTTCAATGGAGGATAACACTACTGCAATTTAAAAAAAAAATGAATGCAAGTGTTCTTGCTAGGTAGGCTGTATATCCACAGTAGATTATTAAATTTCACTCTTTGAAGGCAGCATGAACAGATAATAATAACATTATTTCATATTTCTAAAACAAATTATGTGGTTTTGTCAAATTTGTAGCTACTTAAATGTTGTGTTTCCTGTCTCTGTACAAAGACAAAAACATTGGGTGTTGACAGGATGGCATGTTGCTCTGCATACCATCTGATCCGCTGTTACTCACACCAGACTCTGTTGCTATTTGTGTGACTAATAAGCAGCTTCATTCTTCATTCATTGGTTGTTATTGGGAAACAGACGGATTGTTATTGGCTTCAGACACCTCAGACTTCTCAAGACCACTCCTGTGCTGTCTTGGAACAATATCTATAGGTTTCATATACCGATTGTTACGCCTCAAGAAGGTGCTTTGTGTCTGATTTGCCACGTCACAACTTTGTTTTGGTATTTTCATTTTGGACTTAATTGACTTTACGCGTAAAAAGGGCTACTTCACCATTTTCTTTTTTTTACTCCAGACAGTTTTAAACTTAAACCTTTTGTTTTTAAACTGTGTGGTAGAAGTAGGACTAAAAATAATATTTTTTGTTCCACAATGGCAAAGATATGCATTTACTTTAGGCTACTCCAGTTCTTAATAACAAGTCCAAAATGTATTGATTTTGAAAAATGGCTGAATTGTTTTTGTCCAGATGGGGGGAAAAAGGCATGAAATGCCTCTAAATCATTTTGGAAACCAATTCTGGTATTGTTTATTAAGCCTACAGATAATAAGACACAATTGCTATTAAATTCAAATAACTTTATTCGTCCCTTCAAGGGAACGAGTAGCAAAAATGGACTAAAACGTAATAGCTCACACAGTAGACTTCATAAAATTCACACATAATAAGAAATGTATATAAATAAAAGTGCAGTGTGATTTGTGACTGTGGACAGTGCGAAGTAATTGTGTTGCCTCAAATGGACAGAATGTTATAAAAACTACAGAAAAATAAATCTGGAAATTTGTTTCAGGTATTTTGAAAAAAAAAAAAAAAAAAAAGTACCCTGAAATGAAGAAAGCAAATTGACAGAGTTTGACTGAATTACATCTGTACCGAAAGCAAGACCACGCAAGCATTTGTCATTTCCTGTGACTTTCAGTCCGTCCCTAACTACAAAGTTTTGAATTTACACTGTAAGCCCAAGTTTCTCAGCTGTGTTTTGGGAATGCCTCATAGAAAACAGCAGCAGCTTCTTTTGAGTGGGCAGAGCATTACTCATTCATACGTTTCCTGTCTAGATTTCTTCCAGCTAGTTTTGGAAAATCTATCCGCCGCCCTCTGACAGGTCGCTCTACGTAACCCTCCGCCTACTCACAGTCTGCTCACAGTTCAGCTAATCTCCTGTCCTGTAGTTGCTGTCGACTGAATATCCTGCCTGTCTAGTCGGGGAGAGGGAGTCGGCTCTATGTTGTTGTTTTTTCGCGATAAGCATGGAAACTCATTAATCCGGCAGGCTTGTACAACAAAGCTCATGTCACCTGTTTACCTTTCAGCTGATTGCACAAGTGGAAAACTGATATGAACATCTCCGAGATGCAGATATCGCCTTCCATACGTTGTTCGTTTTTTACGACGCGTTTTTAATCTCTACGTGTGACCGCAAACATCAGACTTCCGACCGATCAGATAATGGCGACATAATTGAAAATCTCAAGAATTTATTAGTTCGCAATAATGTTTGGCAGCCAGATTTGTGTGTGGCTGTAACAACTTTCTAAATATAGCGCCCCGTAAAACAGCTGCCATGTTTTGTTTTTCCCCAGGAACTACCACGTGTTTTACTACCTGCTGCTTGGCGCTTCAGAGGAGGAAAGAACGGAGTTTAAACTGCTGCCGCCTGAAGAGTACTTCTACCTCAAGCAGGTACAGAGCACTCTAAACTTCATTTAGTCTCCCTTCTGTTCCTTCCCACTTCTGTTCAATAAACTCCACCTTCAATGTTTTAATTAGCCACAAGCTGGAAAAATGAGTATTTTAGTCTCTGAAATGGACTTTGAAAGGATCTGCCGCTCATGAAAGCTGCCAGGCGTCTGAATAAGCTGTTGTGTACACTCTGAGCTCGCTCCACACATGTGCTTTGCATGTTAATGAGGCCGCCTTTGTTGCGTCTTTCTTTTCACAGCCCTCTGTTCTCTGAGCCCTTTCCCCTCCAGGTTGGCCATTTTATGTCGTGTGATTTCACTTTTGTTTGTTCCTCCCTAACCAACTGGTTTCCATCCGATTCTTCTTTGCAGGAGAATTTTAAGATCGAAGATGAGGAAGATTTGCGTCATGACTTTGAGAGGCTGCAGCAGGCGATGCAGATGGTTGGCTTCCTTCCAGCCACAAAGAAACAGTGAGTTAAGCAGTGATCAGTTTGGGGCTCCTAAAGCCCAGAAAAGCAGGGGATTGGGTTTGAGCAATTTTTAGCTCTGGAGAAGAGTGGAAAAGGAAATAAAACTTGGAAAAATATTTTCATTTCCAGACTTTATTCAGTCTTTTTATTTTAAAGCTCCATCAGTCTGTCCATCCTCTATACATCCATCCATCCATCCATCCATCCAGTTTTTTTATCCATCTATCTATCAATCCATTTGTTTGATCATCAGACCATCCTTGTGTCCGTCCGACCGTCTCATTCATCCATACATACATCAATACATCCATATCTAAATCCTAACCACTGAATAAAAATCATTCACAAATCCAGAGTTAACTATTGTATTTATGTTCTTAAATTGCCTAGAAGGACTGAAAGCTTTGAGAATTTGAGTCTTTTATGTGGGAAAATGCTTAAACATGTCCTGGAAATGTAATTTTTATCGTATGAACGCGCTCTGTTTAAATGTGTTTAAAGACATGCTATAAATGTGTTGTGCAGCAACACAATTATTCTCTGACCTAAAGCATTTCTTTGATTCACTGAGTCACATGACCAGAGAAATAAAACGTTGTCTTCAGCTCTGAACGGATGGCCTAACTGAGCCGTTTCACGGGGACGGTGTGTCGTTCGCAGTGCCTCGTTTCTCTGACCTCAGTCAGACGTGTAGAGTGCAGCGCAGTCGTAACATCTAGTCGTTTTCAGTCTATGTCATCATTTTGTTATTGTGCTGCAGGATCTTTTCTGTGCTGTCTGCTATCCTGTATCTTGGCAACGTGACGTACAGAAGGAAGTCGTCGGGTCGGGACGAAGGGTTGGATGTAGGCCCGCCTGAAGTCCTGGCTACCCTCTCTGACCTGCTGAAGGTGATCTGCTGATTTTAATGCATCATTTTGCCACTGGTGGTTTCCAGTGGAGTCACGCCATCAGACTGTGTGCTTATCCTCAAATAAGTGACAGAAAGATCCCTGATAAGTTGGTTGAAAACAAAGTAAATAGAAGTACAATCTGGACTGACGGCACAAACTCAGTAAAAAAGCATGATTATTTTTTAATGAGCGAAAGAATTTAACAAAAAATAAGCCAAGACTAATAAGCACAGTTTGCATTGAACTCTTTGGGTTTATTGGATTAGATTCTTGGTTAATTGTTTTATATTTCAATGTTTTGACAAATTATACACAAGGTATATCCTTGGTTACATTTTCACATATTGTGATAAGATGTTAGCTTATAACTCTTAATAACTCTTAATAGCCAAGTGGAACGTGAAAAAAAATTAGTTGTGCCACACTTAACTTCTTGTTCTGTTATCCAAAATATAGAAATAAGGAGCTTTTACGTTAGTTTATATTTACATAATATTTTATCTTTGATTTGCCACACCGCAACTCTTTCTCCTGCTCGACTTCTCGGCTAGATATTATGTGTGTTTGCGGAAAAAGCTTGAATGTAGATTTCTTCATTTTCATGACCAGCGTTCCGGGTTGCACCTTTAATCTTTGTGTTTGTTCGCTTCAGGTCAAAGAGGAACTGCTGGTCGAGGCGCTGACGAAGAGGAAAACGGTGACCGTCAACGACAAGCTGATCCTCCCCTACAGCCACTCTGAGGTAAACTCCAACCACAAAAACATTTCTTCAAGCTCTCTTCATCTTCCTCTTTGCTGCTCAGACACCTGATGCAAACTTCTCCTTTTCCCCTCGAAAACCTGAAGTCTGATAAAGTTGCATCACGTGAAGTCCTTTGTTTCTACCTCCAGGCGATCACAGCCAGAGACTCCATGGCCAAGTCTCTGTATGGCGCCTTGTTTGACTGGATCGTGCTGCGCATCAACCATGCACTGCTCAACAAGAAAGACATGGAGGAATCTGTTCCCGTAAGAAAACAGCACCACATAATGACCAAAACCAGTTTAACATCCAGCTACATGTGAACGAATGACGCTTCGACGTTGTCTTGCAGTGCTTGTCCATTGGTGTTCTGGACATTTTTGGCTTTGAGGACTTTGAAACCAACAGCTTTGAGCAGTTTTGCATCAACTATGCAAACGAGCAGCTGCAGTATTACTTTAACAATCACATTTTTAATCTGGAGCAGGTGAGTAGTTTTGCCTTTTTGATTCAAATCCTAACTTCATAGTTGATAAACTGACCTATCAGATCTTCTAATTAAGGTTAATCTAGCTAATTTACTCATCAAATCACAGTGGAGTAGGTATTAAGAGACATAGAGGTTTTTATTCCAGCAATGAATTAAATTTATTTCAGCAAAAACACAATAAAAAAAAAAAAACAACCTGTGCTAAAATGTTTTTGTGTTTTTATTTGGTGTTTTGTGGAATCAAATCATTTGACATGAGCTTGTTGACCAAAAATGGTCTTTCCTGCCGCGTTCAGGAGGAGTACCAGTCAGAGGGAATCACCTGGCACAACATTGACTACACAGACAATGTGGGCTGCATCCACCTCATCAGCAAGAAACCCACAGGCCTGTTGTACCTTCTGGATGAGGAGAGCAAGTAAGGACAGCTGCACTCATGCATGTCAGAGGAACAAAAATTAAAAACTTAATTTCTTCTGATCTTAATTTTTCTCAACCTTCGGTCTTTTCTCTGCACCCCCAGCTTTCCACATGCAACAGATAAGACCCTGTTGGCCAAATTCAAGCAGCAGCACCATGGAAACAAGTACTTCATACCCACCCCAGTCATGGAGCCCGCCTTCGTCATTCAGCACTTTGCAGGGAAAGTCAAATATCACATCAAGGTATGACGGCGGCTCCCTCATTCAAATTCAGGTACAAGTGTTTCTGCCTCTGACGGTCTCGTTGTCTGTCACCTCATCAGGATTTCCGGGAGAAGAACACGGACCACATGCGTCCAGACATCGTGGCGCTGTTGCGCAGCAGCGACAGAGCCTTCGTGCGGCAGCTCATCGGCATGGACCCGGTGGCCATGTTCCGGTGGGGCATCCTGAGAGCCACCATCAGGGGCCTCGCCGCTTTCAACGAGGCGGGTCGCTCCTGGGCCTCAAAAACAGCAGGTAGACCTGCTAACAATCAGTTATTTGAAGGGACAGGGTTCACGGTTCTGTGGATCAGTTATTGAAAGCTTGATGGGACAGTTTCCAGCCAACATATGAGAAAAATACCGGAACGTACCGTTTTTTTTTTATGACAAAATGTAGAAAATATGCATCAAAGGTAAATTAAGATCCCCAACTCAGTCTGCGTGTCTTATGAATATTTACTATCAATTGCAACAACATTGAAATATTCAGGTAATCTGCAAAATTACATTATAAAAATACAATTTTTGACCAGAAGTAAATTATGACAATCATCCAGTTATTCCCACTAAGTGACTAAAATTACACACAGCTGTGTCACAGAATGTGAAATCACCCATTCACCCAACAGCTGCCAAAACGCCCAGGTCTGAACCACGCTCTCCCTGGAAGCAGAACGCAAAATGCTCAACGGAGCTCGCAAAGGGGCAGAACCCAATCGAACGGGTTCGAGACCCGGTCTGTTGACTTCCCCGCTCTCACAGCCTGCTTTCCTGTCAGATCACTGTCAAATACAGGCCACTAGAGCCAAAAAAAAAAAAAAACTTTGAAAAGAAAAAAATCCTAAAATGGCTCCACAGGACATACAGCAGGGTGTATGAAAGTCCATGTCTGTACAATCAGAAATGGAACAAGTTTAACTTTTTGCAGTAAGAGGGCAAAAAGGAAACTTTTTCGTTCCAAAAAAATGTCAAAGCCTTACTGAAGTTTTCCTAAGGGAGCACAAACAAAGACCAGGACTAATGTGGACAGATTAGTCTAATATATAATTATTTGGACAACAGAACAGAGGACAAGTTTGACTTAAAGCGAATGCAGCATTCCAGAAAACGGACCTCGTTCGAGCTGAGAAGCATGGAGGGGGAAGTGTCATGGTTTGGGAATGCTGCTGTGCTGCAGCAGGACCTAGTTAGCTCACCACTGACAAATCATCAGAAGAATTTGAAAAAATGTTTTAACTGGAACAGAATCGGAAAGGAATCGTACCCTATTTACTGACTATAACACAAAATGTGCCAGAGATTCACCAAAGTCCAGTTAAGAAAACAAAGACTGAAAGTCCGCTAAAAGAAGCGTCTCTCTGAACGTTTACCTCATGCATAAAGCAACGTTTTGGTCTAAATCGTAGTGTAATGAGTAAAACAAGGAACATTTTTGTGAAGTGCAGTCCAATATTTCTGTTCTCCAGAGATTAAAACATGAGATTAGGAACATTTTGAACCTGTTAAAATAAGCTAAAACATTCGCCTGAGCTCTACAAATTCACTGCAATGTGGCATCTTTATATTGCATGCTGTGCATAATAACTTCACAGAATCTCATTTTAAAACTTTCCCTTTAAAAACGTCAGCTTTTTCCTGATGCGGATTGATGGAAAGGTAACATCATGCAGATGCGTTTGAACCGCAGCGTCGGCACACAGCAGATGTCCTACTCTGTAATTAGCTTTAAGGTCGGCATGAAAAATAAAGATGGTCACAAACTTCTGAGATTTTCTCTGCAATTCTGAATCCCTCTGCTTATTTTCAATCTTTTATAAGTCGTCCGCTGACGTATTTAAAAGGAGCGCAACAGACTTCATAGACTGGTCAAAGTGAAAAGCGGAAAATCGTGACGCACGTTTTGATTATTTACAAGCTTCTTATCTGATTTTTTTTTTTTTTTTAGGTGTTATCCGTCCAGCGTCCAGAACTCCTTTAGGAGAGCTGCAGCGCTCCAACACCCCGATAGAACGAATGTACAAGTAAGTCATTTGCATCCGGTGTTGAAAAGCTTTTTTTTCTGGAGTGGATCTGTCTGCTGCGAGAACTGGTGTTGCACCCTTTGAGGTTGATACCTTTTTGTTTCACGTAAAATCAGCAAAATATTCTCTTCTCGTGCCATTTGGAAATGTTACACCTGTTGTTTTATGGGCCTCCACTTTAATCCTGTTGTGCTGAGTGAGATGAGGACGGATATTTGGAAAACGTCTTTAAATCTTCCTTCCCCCTCATCTCAGTCACCCTTATTCTCCCCACCTCTTGGTGACCCCAGTGTGTGCGGTTCTCTCCTCTTCCTCTTCCCTCCACAGACGAGCTTCTATGCTCGATTTCTACTTTGATCACTCAGAGGAGCGCCCTCTAGAGGCCTTTGAAGACATCTTTGCTAGCTATGAGAATAAGAAGTAAGTGAATTTGGTGGAAAGCAGAGAAGAATGAGGACAAGAGGCCAAGCAGGACGAAGGAATTAGTTGTTGCTTTTTCGGTTTGTTCTGCTTTCTGAGTTTGCTCTCATTAAATCACGTCAGGTCTAATTTGATGTAATGTTGCTTTTAGAGAAATAGCAGGGTTTTTTCTTGTATTTCAGCATCTGCATTTTTGACATGCGAGACTCGGCAGTATAAGGAAGTTCAGTTCAGCTGTGTAGCACTTTAAGCAGAATAAAAAAAGTTCCCCTTTCACTTACATTTCAAGTCTTCCCTCAGCGTAATCCTCTTCCTTTTTATGTACTTTGCAGAGCCCCTCCTCAAATCTATCATTTGGACGTTTATTACTGTAGCTGCAGAGCACAGAACAATGTTTGTGCAGGCTTCCGTTGAGTAGCCACTCGGATTAGCTGCGATGCCTTAAAAGCTCACAGTTCTTCAAATACGCACAGAGAGGCCGCTTCCAAATATGCAAACACAACCATGAGAGCTTTCTCAGAAGCTAATCAAACCACGAACACTAGTTTTTGTATTGTTGGGCTCATGTGCTGCAGATTTATTTCATTATGGGAGAATTAAACATGAAGGACTGTTTCCTTCCCTGCCTGACCTCTGTGTTCATGGCCAGAATAAGGAAAGCACTGCATGGACTCTCTTTGGGACACAGGAAAAGTCTCCACATTAACTCCACCAGCCGCAGTTAAGGGACCACACACACAACCACTACTTTGCCAGTAACAACCCAGTAACAGCCACAGCATGGAAACAGCCAGCCGGCAAGCAACGCCGATCCTCAGCTCAGCTCTGCATGTTAACCACCGCAGTGGCAGGGATACGCAGATGTGTGACAAGCCTTCAAATAAATTTATATTCTACTGCACTAGTATAATCCAACATTTAATTTTAGTACGTTTATCCACTAGAGGGGGAAATGCCACATTATGAAAATTGCTTTAATAAAATCCCTATCAGTGATTTTATTGACTTTGTTCAACCGTCTTTTAACAAATAGGACCAAGTCTTCTCTAATATTTCCCTCTCTCTCAAAGAAATTAGCCTTTGCATCATATTGTATTTATTCTGCAGGGAAAACAAACAAAAAAAACATGGAAGTTACTACAAATTAGGAATGCTATTAACCATTATTTTTGCTATCAATTAATCTATCGATTATTCTGACGATTAATCGGATAAAAAAATTTGACACATCTGTGGATTTTTCCTTTGTGCCGTTTTTTACACAATATTAGAAACATGGGAATAGATCAGACCTCTCAGCTTAACACTTAACACGGTGCAGGGCTGATCTTTTGGTTTTTTGTGATTAACCAATTAATCCAAATAATTCGATGGCAAAAGATGTTTTCTAAATTTTTTTGTTTACAAAATCTGAACCAGGTGAAGCTAAAACTGCCATTTGAGGAGGTTTGGGTAGAAAATATTTACATTCAAAAGGTGTTTTTTTTTCATCTTCAGTGCTAAATGTATAGATTTTTTTTTATTTATTTTTGTCTTAATTACTTATCTGACTATCTTCTTCGTTCAGAAAATGGCCCTTTTCTGTCAGTTTGTGTTCTCCACTTACCAATTCTTTGATTACTAAATTAGCTGATAATTATTTAATCAATTGATTCACCGCAATTAATCCGATTACTTGTGTCAGCCCTGCTACAGTCTTGAAGTATAAAGTATAAACAACGCCTCAGTTATATTTATTTTTAAAAGGACTGTTAGTGGCATCAGCAGTGAGAGTTTTATTTGAACACAATTACTGTTTGGATACTGGATTTAATTTGTGTTTATTAAATAAATGTGCTCAAATTAGAAGTTGGATTTTTACTTATTTCACCTTGAGATAATGCATCTGTGACCAGATCACCTAATTTTAAGATTTTTCACACATCTTTAGCAAGGGTGCGAAAAAAAATGACTGTCTGTGTACACGTGTGTGTGTGTGTGTGTGTGTCTTTGTGAAAAATCCTCTAAATACAGCCGTTTCTGTTTCTGCTTGTGTGCGGGTCTTTCTCTGTTCTCATAGAGGATGTGACAGCATGGTTGGGTGGTCTCGTGTGCCTTGTGGTTTCATGATCGACAGGAGAACTTATTTTGCTTCACAGATGAGCAGCGTGTGAAACCTGTGTGTTTCTCATGCCGTCCGACCCCCAGCCGTTCTGCACCGTGTGTTTGTTTTTTGTTTTTTTGTCTTGGGTAACCGTTTTCGGTATGTTTCTTTTGGAGGTGACCTAACAGTGGTGTTTTTTTTCCAACTGTCCTTTCCTTTTATTTTGTCTCTTCCTGTCTTTTCGTACTATTCCCGCTCTCCCTTCTCCTCCGTCTCTGCCTTTTTTCTTGTGCGTGTGTGTGTGTGTGTGTGTGTGTGGTGCGGATCTCAGAGAAATGCATTCAGAGATCATCAGCTCCATAAAGAACTTGCAGCTGGATGGGGAGGACCCTCGCAAGCTGTTGCAATCCTGGGGTCGCCTCCGCTTCCCGCGCCACGTCCTCCAGTGAGTCTGCAGACAGAGCCGTCATCATCGGCTCTGCTCCAGATCGCCCCGGTCCTGATCCGCTCAGACTGAACATTGCTCTTGACATTCATTTGCAGCAGAACGTTGAGGTTTCATGAAACGCACCGCTGCTTCTTCATCGTGCATCTTGTGATTAGCTCTGTTTGAGTCTGAGAGTTTGAGGAGCTGCTTTTGTTGAGGCCTGAAGATGCAGGGAATACTTTCTCTGCAGCATGAAGCTCCACAAAAGTTTTTCAGCATGGTAGAAATCGCTGCAGTGTGATGCATCCCCACAGGGAGGAACATAACGGCGTGGTGCCTGGCACATATTTATGCCCCGATTCACAACACATAGTAGTTCATAATAAAGTGGAAAGAGAAGAAAACATGATTTATGATTTTGATTAAAAAAAATAAAAAAAAAAACTCTGACAATTGTGGGTCACAAATGTGACGTGCCAAAACTCGACGGAAGTCATCTGTTTGTAGCTCTGGATGTATCATTAGGGTTGTTGTCCTGCCACGGATGCACAGCCTTAACTTCTCAGGGTGTGAAAAACACTGCAAATTTCTATCATGCTGCAACCAGGGGAGCATGTCCGACATTGTGTGGGCTGATTAGAATCACATTCCATCTTTTGCAGCAAGCTTCGTCTTCCTCTTCAACATTTGTTCTCTATCAGTGTCAGGCGTCTTCGTCATTCATCCCATCTAGGTGCGAGCCTTGATTCCATCACTCACTGACTGCATGAAGAAGTCGCCCGGCCGTACTAACCTTCCGCTTGAGCGTTCCATCTTCAAACCTTGGTGCTTCATCTCTGAACTCACTCTGCGTCTTTTTCTCTGTACGTAGGAAAAGCAAGAGTGTCAGGCAGAAGCAGGCCATCCCAAAGGTAAATACTTCTCACTTGTAAGCTGTTTGCTCCAATACGTCTACAATCGGGACGCCAATCAGTCCGGTTTGTCACTGTGCAGAGTTTGCTGGATTCGCAGTCTCTGAAGTTCATCGTGAGTCTGACGCTACACGATCGTACCACAAAGTCTCTGCTCCACCTGCACAAGAAGAAGAAGCCGCCCAGCATCAGCGCTCAGTTCCAGGTAATCAAAGCGTTAGCTATACACATCCGTGTTTTCCTGAAACTGCATCAAACCTCTTGTTTTTTGTTGTTGTTTTCTTCAGAACTCTCTGACAAAACTCTTAGAAACTCTGAACAAAGCCGAGCCTTTCTTCATTCGCTGCATCCGCTCCAACGCAGAGAAGGTGAGTCTCTCAAACAGGTGACGAGTCGTTCCCGAACCGTGGATTTTTCGCCAACCACACTTATGATTTAACCATTTGTTCGCGTGAGCAGAAGGAGATGCATCTGGACGAGGCATTGGTGCTGCAGCAGCTGCATTACACAGGGATGCTAGAAACCGTCCGCATCAGGAGGTCCGGATATCCGGCCAAGTACACCTTCCAGGTAATGCAGATCCGCTCCTCGTCGTCAGGGATGCAGTTCAGTTTAAGGCCATGAGTAAAGGAAAACATAAAGATTATAATTTATAATGCTTGTAGAAATGTTCAGGGCACCTAATTCTGCACGATAAAACAATATGTACTGGAATATTGAGTATTATGATGTAATCTTCAGCTACATAATTGATCTCATTCCCGTGTTTGTCCTTTGGTTTATTTAGGAGTTTTCAGAGCAGTTCAGAGTTCTGCTGCTGAAGAACTCCTCCGCCTCCAAAGAAGACATTGCAGAGCTGCTGGAGAAGAAAATGGGCTTCAAGCCAACAACATACCAGATCGGCAAGACCAAGGTACCAGCATGCTCATCTACAGGGCATATCTTAAGAAAAACGTGTTTGATTGGTTGAAATGGCGTCTTTCATGAAAGCATATAGGAGCCGTTTATGACCTCACATCACAATAAGCACTTTGTTCTCCTGCTGCTAGACGGAACGGCTCACCTTTAGGGAACATTAGCAACAAACATTGAATCACCCCTGCCAAGTTGAACACTTTTAAACATATACAGTATTAATGATTTCATATTATGCAGTGTTCTTACACTGTATCACACCCAGAAGATTCCCTCAAAGTCCTCAAACTAGCTCAGGGGTTAGACTTTTCAGAAATAATAACTTTAAAATTCACCAACCTCCTCATTTCCACAAAGTGTTGTTGGAAATGAGGACATGTCTGGTTACGTTCCTCCAAATTATATTGCATCCAAACACCGTCTGTTTTTGTGCAAATTAATTTCATCTTTAAGGAAGGCAGGTGATATAAGAGCACTTCTGCAATGAAATCTGTTATGTTTTTGATGAAAGCATCTCATTAAGACTTAAGAAACAATAACATGTCCATTTTATTTCTTGTTCCCAAAATTTTGTCTTGAAGGTGCTGTTCTTATTAAACTCCTCCCTCTAACTTTCGTGTGTTCTTGCTGCAGGTCTTCTTGAAGGAGCTGGAGCGACAGCAGCTGCAGGACATGCGGCACAGAGAAGTGATGCGGAAGATCATCTTCCTCCAGCGCTGGTTCAGAGCTCACCTGCAGAGGAACGAGTTCCTAGACATGAAAAGAGCAGCCATCTTGATCCAGGTAAAACGGATGCTCTGTCCAGGTTTTTCCGCTCTCGCTTTAATGTACTTGTTGCTCCTTTCTCGTTGAATAACCAACCTGAGGGTTCTGTCTGCTAGGCTTCGTGGCGCAGGTACTGCAGAAAGGAGCAACGGCGACGGGCAGCTACTGTGATCCAAGCCGTGTGGCGAGGACACAGACAGAGATCCGAGTACCACCGACAGAAACACGGAGCAACAAAAATACAAGCTCTGGTCAGAGGACACTCGGCGCGCAGGAGGTAAAAACTCAGCAAGTCCCAACATAACAACAGGAATTCTATAAATATTAACAGTGGATTTTTTTTTTATTTATTTATTATTAGCTTTTATATTTTTAAATGTGTGAAAAGAACAAATAACTCTGGAATGCTTCTTCTGGAAATATCAAATTTTTACGTGAATAAATGTGTGGAGATTCTGCTTTTAACATCTGACCAAATATTTCTGTTCATTTCAGGTGTCAGTCTATTCGTGAAGAGAAAAGAAAGAAAGAAGAGGAGGAGGAGGCCAGGAAAAGAGAAGAGGAGGAGAGGAGGAGGAGAGAAGAGGAGGAAGAGGCCAGGAGAAAAGAGGAAGAGAGACTGAGAATAGAAGAAGAAGTGAAGAGACGAGCAGAGGAGGAAGCGGCAAGAAAAGCCCAGGAAGCCCAGAAAAAACTGGAGGAAAAGGAGGCGAGAGAGCCTCAGACGAGGGAGGATCCAGACATTGAGCTGGTTACGGAGGAGACGCTGGATGAAAACGTCCCCGAGGAGGAGCAGGGGAAGGATGAAGAGATGGAGGAAGAGGACGAGGACTTGGAGCCTTGTGGTACGGAAGCTGAGGCTGGACCCCAGCTAGATGGAGAGCAAGAACCTGGTCTGGCTCCAAACGCACCTACAGGCATTTCCTCCCAGCAGGAGGACAAAAAGTCCAGTGCTGCCGCCACAACATCTCCGCATGCTGAACTGAAGCGGCCGCAGCCTGGCCTCAGCAACAAGGTCCCTTCATCCAGGAGCCTGGAGAAGCGGGAGCAGAGGAGACGAAGAGGCCTGGAGCACAGCCAGAGAGAGTCCGAACGGGCCGCCTCCTCCTCATCCTCATCTTCAGCCACCAGCCGAGACCAGACGTCCCCGACGAAGAGCCGGAACCAGGAGACGTCCAAGCTGAAGGAGCGTTCGGACAGCAAGGAGCTGGACCAGTACACCTTCGTGGCCTGGAAGGTGAAGGAGGAGAAAGGAGGGAAGAAGGAGGGGAAAACTTCTGCCCCCTCCGCCGGCCCCGTCCGTCCATCCACGTTACCGCTGCATGCCCCCGACTTCACACAGGACAAAAACGGTTTGGGGGAAGGCGTCGGGGCGGTGAACCTGCAGCGGCGCTCTGGAGCCATAAAGGAGAAACCGGAGAAATGGAAAGGAAGGAGGAGCAACGGGGAGAGCTATGAGGGCACCGGGTCGCCTCCGCCTCACAGCAAAGAGGAGGCTACAAAGAAACCATCGCTGTACGTCTGACACTACACTGATCGCTCCTCTCTTACTGTTTTAAACCGTATGTGTCAAACTTAAGGCCAAATTCGGCCCGCCATAATTACTTCTGTGGCCCTCTAGTCATCAAAGGGCCACAAAAATGGAGCTTCAAGATAATAGTTTTTTTAAAACGGGCAGTATTATCTGAAATATATATTTTTGAGCTTTACATCATGTTATAAGTTTATTCCCTCATTCAAAACATGCCTAGAGTGTTGCTTTGATTCCGTCACGCATGTTTGAGAAATCCTTTACTCTCCATGGCAACCATTCAGCTGACAGACCCAGCAGCAGCAATTAGCAAACACCTGGTGGAACTGCTCGTCTGCTGAGCTCTTTATACGAGCTACGTCTCAGCGCAAAGCTGGTAAAAACGTTAAAAAGTTAATGTGATGACTCCCTGCATGTAGAGTGTTGGAAAGAGTAGTTTCTTAAAGAGACAGAGGCCCAATTTCAAGGCATTAAATTACAAAGTCAAATTTCTTTTAACTAATTTTAGACACAAACAGGATTTTTATAGAGCTAGTGATATAAAATGATACTGCCCCATTAAATATTATTTTATTAGAAAAATTAAATTTGTATTTGTTTGTGTAAACTTCTTGAATGCCAAATATAAGATGCTCATCGAGTGCAGAGAAAGCTACAATATCTTAATAATTTCTGCCACATGCAGCCCTTTGAGGACATTCATGATTCATGATGTGACCCGAAATGAAAATGAGTTTGACATTTCTGTCTTAAACTGATAAACCTGAGCCGCTTTGTCTTTATCGCCTGCCTGCAGGAGGGACGTGTCCCACTCGTCCGTCGACAGCATGTCTCCAAGCTCTGATGGAGCCTTGGCGGTTTCCGTCAGAGACCCCTGGACCGTGGCCGCCAGAGAGGTAGAGAAACGCAGGATAAATCATAACAGATGTTTTTCTGGAGCGTTATATTTTTATATCTTGAGCTCTATGTCACGCCACAAGATCAGAATAGAAGCTAGCTTTAATCTCTGTTTTGTTGAATACTGTAAAACCAACCTCATGTTTTTTTTTTTTGTTGTTTTTTTTACTGAAATGTCCAGAACTGATGGAAAATGCAACAACTAGAATTTGGAAGAATGATGAACTCAGTTGGTGTTTCCTTATATGATTTATTTTTAAATTCTTCACTGGGTTTGTGACTCTGCAGGGAAATCAAGACGGTCAAGGGGACAGCTCCAGGTCCAGCTCATTTAGAAAGAGACACCAGGATGGTTCTGGACAACCAGACTCACTTCCATCTAACGCGACCACACCGGACAAGTAGGTGGAAACGTTTCTGAGTTTCACTGTGACATAAGAACAAAATAAACATACGTTTATCTTGTCGTTTTTGAGTTGTACGGTTCTGAATTCACTCTGATCATCCCCACTGTTTCTATCCCGAAAATCTTGATTGTGAAATTTTTTTTTTTCTTATTTCTGAGGTGATGGTTTCTTTTGATTTTTTTTTTTTCCCCCGCCCGGCAGGTCTGGCGGCTTCTTCAGCAAGATTTTGAAGAAGAGAGCCAAAGAGGCTCATACTCCAGACAACGGAGAGCTGACGTTTGCTCAGAGTCTCAACGACAAGTCGATGCTCGGGGAAGGTAGAATCATTCAGATCTTTGGGTTTTCTTTCTGATCTTTTACAATTAAAATTTTTTTTACTTTTTAATATCCGTTCGGCCTCTTTTGGCCCATTTTGCCGGAGGAATTAACTGATTTGTAATTACACAGCTTGTATATAGTGTGTTGATATTCTCAGACCACACCTTCCCTCACTGCACGAATAGGATCAACTTTTATATTTTAATCCATTTGGATGCTTGGAAAATATGCATTAACGTGCTCATCTTTGGTTTGAAACAGCGCCCCCCCCTGGCCCCGTGGTGCGTCCCGTTGCTCAGCCGTTCAGTGACCGGACGGGTAAAAGTATAGGCCGAAACCCTACGATCAAGATCAGCCGCGCCACCCGAGTTTCAGTGCATTGGGACGCCTCACTGGACCGAGTCATTGCCAACGGCAACGAGCTGCGGAACCTCGACGAGTTTCTGGGTAACCAGGTGAGCGAAAAGCAGCGAAGCGTCGACTCTTTGTTCGATCTGTTGAATCGGGTTTATAAAGCAAGACGTAACTTGATTTTGCTGCTGCGTTAGGTGAATGATTTCCGCTCCAGAGGCAAGTCGCTGTCGCCCATAGAGTCCATCTTTGTCACTGCCACCATGCAGTTTAGAGAGCATATCAAATCTATGTATTCTCTCTCAGTGAGTAGACTTGAAACACGCTTCATGAAGCGCGCTAATTCGTGTTAAAACGCCTGCCTAAACTTCCTCTGGACCTTTACAGAATCCTACCATCGGCTACAAAGCGCTGATGACGGGCTTCAAGAACAAAGTGATCACCCTGGCCACAGACAAGCAGCAGGAAGATGTTCAGCTGGTGGTCAACTTGTTCCAGTCGGTCCTGGACGGTTTCATCAGAGGAGAGGTGAAGAAGGAGGAAGCCGAGCCCGTCAAGGTGAAACTCGGATTCAGGACGATAGAGTGGTCCGAATATGAAAACAAAACGATGTTCTCACAGCCTTCTGTCTTCCAGCCGACCAAAGCCAGAAAGAAAAGGAGGAAAAAAGATAAAATTGTAAGCCTGCAGTTTGCATTCTCCTTCTTTTCCCACCAAGTCTGTTCTAGTTCATTGTAAATTCTTTTTTTTTTTTTTTTAATTAGATGGAGTCCCTGCTGGACCACGGTTTCATCAACTATCAGGTCAGCATCGTTCAGTCGTGTGACCAGTGCAGCTCCTACATCTGGGGGATGGAGAAAGCCTACATGTGCAGCAGTGAGTACGAGCCCCAATAAAGACGGCCATGTTTCCTCTTTGATCCGTATCTGAGGATGTTGTTTTGACTTTTCTGACAGATTGTAAAATGGTGTGCCACAAGAAGTGCCTTAATAAGATAGCCATCAACTGCTCCAGCTTCTGTGCCAAAAAGGTATGCCTTGATTCGTTTCATCGTGAATTTTTAGCGCAAAATTAGGTTTACTGGGGTGCAAAGATTCTTCGTATTAAATGAACCCAAATATGATTTGCAACAGATTAAAAAACGAGCCGAAGAGAGAAAAGCAGAGGCTTTTATTTCTGTTGTCTGAATTAAGTTATGGAATGATTCAAGCATGGAGTTAAAAATGTGTAATGGGCCTTCAAAAACACTCAATTATTATTCCTTTTTATGTTTCTGCTTAGTGATTTCCATAAGAAAGTTATATGTTGTGGGGTTTTTTTTGGTTTTGTTTTTTTGCATATTACAATGACTACGAGGGCTAGTTTAGCAATAAATTCGTGCCGTTGTGTTACTGACTGCTGCTGCTGCTGCGGCTCCTCAGAATGATGAAGAGGTGACGGGATGTAACTTCGGGGTGCGAGTTTGTCATCTGGTGAGCGATAAGAACCCGGTGCCAACGGTGCTGGAGATGATGCTGGAGCACGTGGAGATGCACGGCCTCTACACCGAGGGCATCTACCGCAAATCAGGCGCTGCCAACCGCATGAGGGAGCTGCACCAGCGGCTAGAGATGGGTTAGTCCCCTTTTCACTTACAGGATGTGCAGCAGAGACAAAAAAGTCTTGACTTTTGTTTTGCTGTTCCGGTTCTCGTGTGTTTAGATGCTTACGTGGACATTCTTGAGGACTATCCCATCCACACGGTGACAGGCCTGGTGAAGCAGTGGTTAAGGGAGCTGCCAGACCCACTCATGACCTTCGCCCATTACAACGACTTCCTGCATGCTGTGGGTGAGTGGAGACCCGACGGGACTTCTCCCACAACAGGAAATGGCGGAGTTTTGGAAAAAGTGAAACTTTTCACGTTTTTTGCTCATTACAGTCAGAAACCTCGACATGTTTCATTTGAATTTGATGCTAGGACTAACTCGAAATTACAGCATGGTTCTGAGGCGGGAGAAAAATTCTCAGTGTCTTCAAAGTAAAAAAATATATAATAAATGGGTATTTTTATTCAACCCCTAAATAAAATCCAGTGCAACTGGTTGCCTTGTGCATTACTCCATTAAATCCCTAGCTCTGTGTTAGAGGTCACTGCCCCGCTGGAGGGTGACCCCTGACCATTCTCAAGTGTTTTGCAGCATAAAACAGTTTTTCTTCCATCACTGCCTCACATTTAGCTCCGTCTTCCTGTTGACTCTGCTTCTGTACATCCCCGTCATCCACCGTTTGCTGACTCTGAAATTCCAAGCAGAAATTTGCTATTTATTTGCAGAAAAGGAGAAATGGTCAAAATATCAACAAAAAAAAAAAAAAGATGCAGTGCTTTCAGAAGTTCATATTCTTTTAGAAACAGCGATGCTAATGTTTTTTTTTAAACTCAGGAAGAGTTCAGAAATCAACATTTGGTGGAATCACCAGGAGGTTTCCAGTGAGGTTTAGTGCAGTGGGCTCTTCGGCAGGGTTTTTTCCAGAGCCGTATGTCACACATTTCAGAATTTTTGACTGAAGATTTTTAATTTTCTTCCTACTACACAAATAGGTGCCTCTGTCACACAAAGTACTAGAAAATCTTCATAAACTGTTCTTTTGAGCTAAACTCCTATCTGTTTTGTTTCTCTGTTAGAGCTGCCAGAGAAGCAGGAGCAGCTTCAAGCCATTTACAAGATCCTGGAGGAACTTCCCACCGCAAACTTCAACACATTAGAGCGGCTCATCTTCCACCTTGTCAAGTAAACATTCTCCACCTGCTGTACTTCCACACATCTAAAAACTGCACTAAAAGAAGCTGAACTGGCAGATAATGAGGTACATGTCTCTGATTGTGTTCCTGCAGGGTCTCAAAGGAGGAGGAGCACAACCGCATGTCCCCCAACTCGCTGGCTATAGTGTTTGCGCCGTGTATCCTGCGTTGCCCCAACACGGCCGACCCTCTGCTCAGCATGAAGGACGTTGCAAAGACGACGACGTGAGTCCGGCCCGCAAAACAGAAACCTTCGAAACCTACTTGCTGCTGTTGACATTTGATCCGAACTCACCCGGTGTCGCTCGCTCGCCTGCAGGTGCGTGGAGATGCTGATCATCGAGCAAATCAGACGCTACAATGAGAAGATGGAGGAGATCGAGCAGCTGGAGTACGCCGAGGCTCTGGCCGTCAAGCAGCTGAATCTCAAGAGGAAGAACACAGTGAGTGGGATCAAATACGTCCGAGCCGTTTACTGTTGGTCTGATGTTTTAGATCAGCTCAAATGGACCGTGACAGGCGTCAGTCCCACATCTTCTGTCGCGTGAATCCAGCATCGCGTCACGACATTTATTAGCTTACGTAGCGTAGGCAGAGTCCAACAAGCACCAAACTCTGCAACATTTGGTCAAAGTTTATATGCAATGCTTGTCCCTAGATGAGCTTTTAATTTTGTAAGAAAATAAACCACATTCTGGGGAGTTTATTATAAAAGCATACATTCATTAAGCAGTGCATGCAAGCAAAATACGATAAAGGCAGTGCCAGTCATTACCTGTCATCATAGGAAGTGAAGCTCTGTCAGGTGCTCAGGTCTGATTTCACATCATCCTCTGTGGTTTGACGTTTGGAGTTGCTGCTCTTCATCGACATGAAAATATCTGCAGCAAATTGCCATGTTTTTTTTTTTTTTTTTTTTTTTTTTAACTCTGCGTAACATTTTGTCAAACCTTTAACAAAAATCCAAGAAGCATGTACGAAGTTTCACCCATGTTGGAGATTATGTATTTATTTTTAATGTACTTACTGATCATTAACCATATTCATAATTTCCCTCACGCAGTATACATCATCAACATCCATTACTTTATCCCGTTGCATGGCCTCTTGGGTTCACATTGGTAACACGGTTAATGTTCCTTGTCTCTCTTTAGACCAGCTGCCCTTTATCTCTCAGGTTGACAGCTCATTACAAAGGAGGGGTGGTATGTATCATCCAGACCTCAGGTGTAGTAGATCCTGTAGATGTAGTGTGCAGTAGTTTGCCATGTCCGAGCGCCTGTGCATGGCATGTTAGATCCGGGTGCTGAGTCCTTTTTCTTTTTTTTTGCTGGTTTCTCTTGTTATCTTGTATTAATGCAGTTTGTTTGTACTAACTGGGAATCGTTTGCATGTCGCTGTTGGTTCAGTATTTATTCTGCTTGTGATGTGAAGCGTTTGTTGATCCAAGGATGTGAAGGGATTCTGGGTTGTGATCGGTCTTTTATCAGAAAGTGATCTAACACTATTGTGACCTTCAGGGCTTTATGGTATTAATTCAGCATTTAATATATACCACAGAGCTCTGAAAGTCGTATTATTTAACTGGAACTAAACCTTATTTGGACTTTGATGTTTTCCTGAGGAGGGAACCTGCTGCCTCGTGTTGATGTTCCTTGAACGTTTTTTTTTCCCTAGTTATTCTATTCTAGCCACAAACTTCACGTTGATTTTATGTCCTGATACGACTAAATGAAATCAAGTGCAACCGACTGCAGAAGATTTGATATTCGGATGGAGTATTGCCTTCCAGCCGAACGATAATGAGTATTTTTGTGTTAAAATGGCCCAGTCAAAGTCTAAACTGAAATTTGACAAAGAACCTGCAGTCTAAAAGAGCTTATGGCGCAAGTATGTTCCTACCGCAGTAAGAGGTCGCCTTATATAGTGCTGGTGTGCTTTTTTAGATTTATATCTTTACGGATTTGGGAATTAAAACATTTCTCCTCCATTAAAAAAAAAAACTCACATGCCACCTTGCGTTTGTTTATTACACAAACTCCCAATAAAGATGGTTAGAGTTTGTGGTTGTAACCTGGCATAATGGGAACAACTTCAAGGGATATCAGCACTTTTGGCACTGGATATTATTTTTTTCCACGATTGCTCACAAACATGCCGTAAGTATTAATAAATGTAAATGCATGAAGGTCGCAGGCGACGTCCACTCTGCTCTTCTCCTGACCTGACTAACCATTTTGGCTCGGTTTCCCCTTAAGGTTTTATTCTACTGTGGGGGGTTTTGGTTTTAACTTGTACTCTTAACATCTCTCTGTAGTCACTGCGGTTTAACATACGGATGGAGTTGGTGGGTCATCATCAGTGTTTGGTGCTGTGTGTTGTGCAGATCCGCGAGAAGGTCAGCTCTGATCTCACCGTGGTCCCCGAGAACGAGCCTCTGGACTCCGACATCGAGACGGAGAACAACCTGGTGGAACGCATCAAGTCCATCAAACAAGAGAAGTAAGGAACGCTCCCTTGCCTTTTTTCTTCACGTTGATTTGCTGTCTGTTTTTTTGTTTAACTTCTTCTTTGTTTACTCTCAAGAGAGGAACTGGCTTTCCGGCTGCCAGAGATGGAGCAGCCCGGTTCAGACCAGGAGAACCTGGACTCTGAAGCGTCTCTGAGCTCCGAGAGTCTTCTGGACGAGCAGCAGCAGCAGCGCTCGTCCGCGCACGGCTCCGAGGCAGAAGGTCAGTAAGTAAGGTACAGTCCGGTGTTTCCCTCCTTCTGCCTGTTCCTCTCTCACACCTGTGGGTTTCTGACCGGACCCCGGGGCCGCTGGGTTGGGCCCTTCCTGTCTTTTGTGGTGCAGGTCTGGACCAGTGATGGTGATGGGGCGCTGATGTCTGCTCTGTAAACAAAGCAGGTCGGAGGAACAGCAACCGTGTTTGTGTGTTTGTGTGCATGTAAATTCACGTGTGGCACAGATCCATGCTCAAACTTCATGGACACCTTTGGCACCAAATCCACTAAAATGCATGGAAATGTAACTCCCTGAACATACAGTCGTGTAAAAAATGAGAACACCTGTTAGTTATTCTGATGGTTGTTAAGAAGGGCTCCCATGTTGACGTCTAATCTCTTTGGTTGTCATCTCTGGAAAAGGAAGTGATTTAATTCAAGGGAGAATTAATTAATTCAGCCAGCCTTGAATTTGTTTGCTGTTGTTTTGAACGTTCCCCACATGGAGGCTGTTTCCTGAACAGCAGAAAAGCTGATTTTTACCTGTAACTTCATTTAACTCAACAGATGTTAGTCCTCTTTCTGCAGAAAGAGGACTAACATCTGTCTAACTAATTTGTTGTATCTGACTAACTAATTTGTTGTATTTCTCAACAAAAATATGCTAATTTTTACAAAAAAATTAAAATATCTTCAAGGTTTATTGCATATTATTGTCATTGTAATTAATATATTAAATGTACTCATGTCCAAATATGGTAAAACTCTTCAGGCTGTCTCCATATTTTTCACATGACTGTATTTCATTTTAAATAACATGGTTGCATGATCTTCCAATTTTCTTCATCTTCCTGACTCTGTTGTGGGAAATCTAAAAAAAAAAAAAAAAATCACAATTTTTCCTCCTTGCTCTTGCGTCATTTTCTCGTCTTTCCTTCTCTTCCAGGACACAGTGGCGTCCAGCTGAGAAGACACAGGCCAGTTAAACCTGTTAAGCCTCCAGAGATCGTCCAGCGAACTAAACCCTCTGTTGGACGATCGTTTATGGGAAACCTGACCCCCGCCAGCTCCACCTCCTCTCTGTCCAGCTGCGCCTCCACGGCGTCCGAAACCTCCACCGCCTCCACCAGGCGGCCCCCGCAGCGCCGCAACCCCGTCATCCCAGACACCGTCAAGCTGCCCCCGGGCGTCCTCACCCAGCAGATGGCCACCGGTTCTTCTCAGACGTTCCCTCCTCCTGGAAATCGAGAGATTTTGTACCCCGTCAGGATACGGGAGCATCCCGGCCGTCGCAAAGACAGCACCCAGTCGTTGTACCTCGACAACCCAGAGAGTGGCATGCTCCTGCATTTCTCCTCCTGCCCTCCCTCTGCTTCCTCCTCTTCCTCCTCTATCGCCACGGCTACGCTCCAGCAAAAGGATACTAGAGCCCCCAAGAGTCACAGACGCTTTTCTGACCCAGACATACCCTACATGGACGACGAAGTCTGACCTACGGAGGAGAAGAATGTAACAGAGTGTGAATTTGCTGTAGACTGAACAGCAGAAACTCAGTATGGCGCTAAAAACGTGTCAAAAGTCTTGTGTTGTGCTGTTCATCAGTAGAAATAACTGGACAAATTGTTGCCAAGCACCTTTTCTATCATTTTTAATATGCTGTGGTTACTGGTGGAGAGCACAGTTTGACTACAGGCTGTATCTTCTGTAGCCTCATGTTGTTTTTTTTTGGCTTGTAAAAGAAAATATTGCAGGTTCTAGTCAAGCTTTTCCATTCTTTCCTAATGCTGAGAATTGCTAGCTAGTGCCTTGATGATGTTAACCCATTTCTCACACCATAATTCCTGAACAATGCTAACAGGAGAGGGGTGGGGATGTCCAGAACGACGAGGGGATTTTTGCCGCAATATTTCGTGTGTGACGTCTTGAAGTGGAACAAAACGAGTTCAGTAAAAGGACCTAATCACGCTTTCACCCATCTCACAAAATAACACCAGAGAGGAAATCACTGCTTTCAGTTTGCAAAGGGAAATGGGAGCAGCACAAGCCACTTTCTCCAATGGAAAAGAAAGAAAGAGGAGAACACAAGCCCGACCACGACGCCGTGTCACGACTTCCCCGAAGTCTCGCAGAGTCACACCCTTCACTCGGATGTGGACAGTCGCGACGACGAGCGCAGATTGAATTAAATACTAATGTTTCTCTTGACTGCTGAATGATGTTTGTTAGTCTGTCTGGTTTATGAGGAAGATTGTGCTGATGTGTACCTGAGGGTGTGTTTGGGACTGAATGTCAAGAACTGTACTGGTTATTAGTGTTAACATAAAGATACAGGACATCATACTTCTGTGTGCTTGACTCACATTATTGCACTTGGTAAACTGATACACACCTAAAACCAGATGCGTACATAGGCTGTATATAAAAGACTCTCATTAAATCAGACTAAACCTTTCCAGTTATAGCTTAGTCAGGATTATCAATATTTTTATGACTTGAATGAAGGTTTGACCTTTACATTATGTTATAATGTTGTTCCCTCAAAACCATATCGGCAGTCTTTTTTTTTTTTTTTCACGCATTTCCCAGAAATCCTTGAATCTCCCGTGTCAGCCACTAGGGGGTGCCTAAACGCTTGCTCTCACTAACTTTTCTCTACTTCTAAGTCCGACGTTATAAACGCATAGTGAGAAGCATTGTGGCGACATGATGAAGGCGGGGTAGGAGCTTTTTAAAGAGACAGAGGGCAATTTCAAGGCGTCAAATTGCTTTTAACTCGTGTTTTATACATGTAACATAGTCGATTGTTACTTAATGGCACCTTGTAGCTGAAAAATAGATGATGCCACCAAGTTGGCAATAAACAACATAGACAATTGAAATGTTGCATAAAGGCTTCCTTGTGCTGTACTGAACTGTTAAAAAAAAACAGCCTGGAGAATTTAGGATTTCCTGCACAAAATTGTCACAAAATGCCATAATGTAGAAAATGTTCATTTTCATAGATATAATGTGGGATGTTCACATTATATCTATGAAACTTCCAGTACTCACATTGCAGTTGAAAACAGCTGTCAACCCATTCTAAAGCTGAAAATTGAGCATTTTCAAAAAGGTTTTTTAATTTGTTTTTTTTTTATTAGAATTTTCAAATTGTTACATAAAATCTGGAATGTTTTATCTAGACAGAATATTTCTTTTAAGATATCAGTAATCAGTTAATTCAAGACATCTGAAATAGAAAAACCTAGATTTAATTTGGAGATATCTTAAATGAATTCTGACTTGTCAAAATTACAGTTCTGGATATCTCTTTGTTTGTTTTGCCTAGTCATTATTTGCTTTCAAGGCATCTGCAATTTAATTTGCTCTACTCAAATCTATACATTTTCCAATCCAAAAGTACATTTAAAATATCTTGAATTATGGCGTCATTCAAGTCATAATTCATAATTAGAATTATGACTTTTCAGAACAAAAAGTGAGATATTTTACTTTTTGATTAGTCATTATTTATGTGTTACCTGAAATTTATATGTTTCAGATAGTAATTTGTAGATATCTTGAATTAAAGCTTCCATAAAACTTAATGGTTGTATGACATAATTTATACTAGTTAGAAGGTAATTAGCGATATCTTATATAGGTATTTTTATAGTCAAAATATATTAAGAGATTTCTTAAATTATTATGTCTGATTATCATATAGTTGTGTCACAAATCGGGAAATGAAGTGTGGTGAGGTCGATTTTATGATAAAACGTCCTGCCGTACATGGAGACGTGGTTTGTAGCGGCTGCGGCTGGTTACGTCATACAGCTGCGACACTGCGATTCCAACATGGCTTCTAGACTAGAGATCAATTTTATTAGATTATTGTCTCGCTGTGAAACTATGGCGTCGGAAAAACGAGGAGAGGCTGAATGGAGACTGGAGAAGGTAAACCAGAGCTGAGCTCAAAGAGTTTAATCTGAGCTACAGATTTATTGTTGTTGTTGTTAGCTCAACAGCTGCTAGCTGCTTTGTTAGCCACGTCGTCAGAAAGCAGTAACTGTGGTATACGCTTTCTATCTCATTTTTATGTTTTTAATCTAGTTTTTATGTTCTGCCTATTGAACCCTGTTTATCGTATTTTGGTCTATAAGTTTAGCATTCCATTATGTTCCCATGGAAACAGCAGAAAATAAAAGTAATAAGTCCGACAAGATTCTTAACCATACACTATCGGTTTCTGCAAACATGTTTATTCTTTTTTTGTTTGTTTGTTTGTTTGTTTTTCTGTAGTATGTTGCAGCCCTGGTGGACATGTTGGTGGCTCTCAGGAAAAGCCCAAGGTTACACCCCCCTTGATTTTAATTTTTTACCTCGATTTTTTTTTTTCCCCTACTGTTTATTAAATTGTGGACATTTAATAAACACACGTTCTGCTAAATGACAAAAAATACTGAGAATGTTTTCTTTGTTGCAACTTGAACATTTGTACAGAAGTCACTGCGCTCACAGCTGATGTTCTAAAAACGTTCTGATGCTTCTGTGTTTGTGTCGTTTCGCAGCAAACCGACACAAGAGATCCTGACTGAATACACAAGAAAAGTCGATTTTCTAAAAGGACTTTTAGAGGCAGAGAAACTGGTAAGATTTGCGATCATTCAGCTTATTCATATAAACGACAGTAAACAATAATTCAACTCGTAATCCTCCACAGACATCTCCAACAGAGAAGGCCTTAGCCAATCAGTTCCTCGCTCCAGGTCGTACACCGACAATAGCCAATGAGAGGATGCCGGCCACTAAAACCGTTCACATTCAGTCCAAGGCGCGATGTACAGGGGAGATGAGAGACGAACTGCTGGGCACGGTGAGATGAGATGCGTGTTATTCAACTATCAGGCAAATTAGACTAGATAGTAAGCGTTTTAATGCTATTATAATATGTTTCGTAATATATTTTTTTCTTTAAAGTGATTCTTTTTCTTTAAGCGTGTACCTCCTGATTTTACTTTAATGGAAAAGTGAACTTAAAAATCCTGCGACACGTTTAACTCATGTTTTTTATGTTGTTACTCTGCAGCGGACGTCTGGCAAAGGTAAGAAACCTTTTAAATCTGAAGACTTTTAGTTTTCAGCATCTTTACTTTAAGCACTTTCTAACAATCTAATGTTTTCACCCACAGCAGACGGAGACTTGCGAAATAGAAGGTGAACTCAAACGCCACTGCTTCACCAAACAAAAGCCCCTACAGTTTGTTTTTTTTCTTCCCCCACTGACTCGACTCAACGCTTTAAAAAAATCTTTCAGAGTTCTTCCTCTGGATGAGCGGCAGTCTGCAGCCGAGCTGGACGCGGTCCTGCAGCACCACCACAACCTGCAGGAGAAGCTGGCGGAGGACATGCTCAACTTGGCCAGAAATCTTAAAAACAACACTCTGGCTGCTCAAAACATCATCAAGCAGGATAATCAGGTATCTACACAGGCACAAAGAGCGCTGCTTTCCTGAAACGTATCAGAATTAATCAGCGTCTAACCATTTTTGCAAAGAATGACAAATTTATCTACAATGCCTCTAAAATAGATCCACGCCTTGTTTTTGACAAATCTTCCAAAAAATAATTCCGTTTACTAACAAAGTGAAAATACATTTTTACAAACCAGTCAGTTGATTTGTTGTATAAAGTTCATGGTTTCATAAATATTTTCCTCCTCTCTTCAGGGAGGAGGACTGAAGAGAGAGGTCACCAGTCCACCTGGAACCACCCAGAAGCAGTTAGAAGCTTCACTATAATAAGAGTTCAAGCTTACGTTTCTATCCGTTTTATTTTTATTAAAACTTTCCGAGAAAAGCTATTTCCCAGCTTGGCTTGACTCCAAATATTGTGTTCTTTGATTAACTGATTCGGCCAGATTTTTTTTTTTAGCTAATTTTGGTCACAAGTAGGCAGAACATTTACAACCAGGGCTGCAAGTAATGATTATTTTAGTGATCAATTAAAAAACAAAAAATGGGATATTCTATAGATTTTTTAAAAAAAGTATTTAACCACTTAAACCAAAAGATGCAAATAATTCAATTCCTTTTTTTTTTTTTTTAAATAAGAAAATAAACATTTTATTGCCTAAAATGCAACAACACACTTTTTTTTTTTTTTTATTACTGAAATATTTTACGGTTGTATAAAACACTGTGTGCGCCAGCGGTTATCCATGTCGCTGCGTTTATCTGGATGTTGACGTCTGACTCTTCTCTGCTCTCCAGACTCTGAGTCAGTCCATGCGTCAAGCCGACCTGAACTTTGAGAAGCTGAAGACGGAGTCGGAGCGCTTGGAGCAGCACACCAAGAAGTCCGTCAACTGGCTGCTGTGGCTGATGCTCATCCTGGTCTCCTTCACCTTCATCAGCATGATCCTCTTCATCAGGATCTTTCCCAGGCTCAGATGATGACGGGCCGGGCCCAGCCCTGTACTCCTCCGTGGGCTCCCTGTGTCTGTGATGCAGAGGAATGAACCAAGCCGGTTCGACAGACAGACAGACATTTCCGAGCGCTTGAAGGTGGAGGAGCAGCCGTCTGCTCTCAGCTGAGCCGGATCGACTCCGTTGAAGATGTTGGACTCAAATGTTGCCTCATTTAGTTCAAGAGGTTCTTATTTATAGATATTTCAGCTCTGTTTAGTGTTTACTGCCTTCTAAGCTCTTAATAACTGGTGGATGACGAGCTAATCAGACGTAATAATGGAATGAACTAAAAGCTTCTTTAAAGGACGTCGGCTTCCAGTCACAAGTGTTGAACTCAGATCCGATAACTGACTGGACGATCCATTTATAAAAGACACTAATTGTTAAAGATGTCAAAATATCCTCTATTCTTTTTGCTGAATTGATTTACCTCCGTCGTCAGTCCAGAGCGTCGCTCGTGTTTTCGGTTCGAGTCTGGTTGAGTGATGACTTTTGATGCTGCAGCTGTTGATGAAGTAAGTTTTTTTTGTTAGTAAAGATTTGCTGCGTCCACACACATCTGTGACGAATCCCTTCTTTCGTTTGATGATTCGTTTCAATATGCAGGTCAGTCAAAACATCAGCAAAAAGTTAATTTAATTCAGTTGTTCAGTTCTGAGCTTGACGCATGAAGTGATCCAAAATTCCCTCGTAGGCACCGACTTTGATTAGGCTCGGCGGACCGACGACGAACCCGGTCTCTGTTCGTCTCCCCTCGGAGACATTTCCCTCGCATGGGACAAGTATACTGCACAGACACATTGCACTCCTCCAAACCATCACAATAGTAATAAATGCATAAAAAACATCCCTATACATTAAGAACCCATCTGGACGCAGCACATGCGCCTC